ATTTCATTCTAGCACAAACTCATTTTCAAGGAATCACGGTCATTTACATCATGTTACCACAAGAGTACAAGGTTTTGTTTTAAAATTTTCTGATTTTTAGGTGTTTTTTAGCCATTAGCTTTGCACAGGCAGATTGAACCAACACAGGCAAACTGCATGCAGTTTGGCTGTGCTCAACCTATGGCAATTTTTTTTGTTTTTTATTTTTTGTTTGTTTTTGTTTTTTGTTTTTTGTTTTTACCACATGCAACAGGGACAAACAATACTAAGACTCACCACCCCGCACTCAGAATGGCACATTGTCCCTAATGTTCAACTCCTAATCTAAACATGCACGGGTTTGACACAACTAAAAAGAAAAATAAAGAAAAGAAAACTTACCTTGGGTTGCCTCCCAAGAAGCGCTTGTTTAACGTCCTCAGCCTGACGTTCATGGAGCTTTCAACCAATGGGTATGGAAAGGTATCCAACGTACCCTCCCGAGCAATGATAGAACGCATAGCCTCCATCTAACATATGAGTCACCTCTGCAGGGCCAGATGTACAAAAATTTGGTATGACCTTATCTTGCATGTTGGACCCTTTAGTGAGGCGTAGGTGGTACTGCAGCGCCTCAAGCAAGTACTCTTCCTGTTTCAATGTCAGTGAAGAAGGAATAATAACAGGAAGATTGAAATCCTTACCCAAATATCTATACTTGAGGTGACCTGGCAAAGATTTCTGCCCTTGCTTTGATTTCAGAATCTGAGCAGATAGGATAGGTGATTGTTCTTCGGATGGTCCACTATCACAGGAAGAGGAATTTTTCCTTTCTCGAGCTCCACTTTCAAAGTCATCAAATGCATCGTGATTATGATCAACTTAAAAGACATTAAAATTTTCCTCCTCCTTACCTACTCGGAATGTCAACTTGCCTCTCCCAACATCGATGAGTGCATCTCCAGTTGCTAGAAAAGGTCTACCAAGGATGAGAGGCACTCCTCGATCTTCTCCCATCTCCAGAATCACAAAATCTGTTGGGAGAATAAACTTCCCCACCTTCACCAATACATTCTCCACCACTCCTTTTGGAATTTTTACTGATCGATCAGCCAATTGGAGAGTGATCCGAGTAGGCTTAAGAACATCTCCCAATCCCAATTTCCTGTAGACTGAGTATGGCATCAAATTAATTCCTGCTCCAAGATCACAAAGTGATTTATTGAATTCTGTACCTCCAATGACACATGGAATGGTGAAGCTTCCCGGATCATCCCTCTTTTCTGGTAATTTATTCTGAATCACAACACTACATTCACAAGTAAGGGTTACCTTCTCTAGATCAGCCCACTTGCGCTTCTTAGTCAGCAACTCCCTTAAGAATTTAGCATATGTAGGCATCTGTTCAAGTGCCTCCGCCAATGGTATGTTTATATGAAGTTGCTTGAAGAGACTCACAAATTTGTTGAAGTTTGGGTCTTCCATGGGCTTCATTAACCTTTGAGAGAATGGCGCGGGAGGTTCATAAGGCTTTACCTCTTCATTCATGAATTTTTTCACTTTTGGAGGTGCACGAGCTGAATGCTCATGCACATGCAGATTGCATGCAGTTTGCCTGTGCAAGTCAAATTTTTCAGCTTTTGCACTTTCTTCATCTTCTACCTCTGCAACTCCTTCTTTTTCAGATTTTGTTGACTTCCTTGAACTCTCAGGATCCTCCAAGGCCTTTCCACTCCTCAATGTGACAGCTACAACCATGGCATCCTTCGGATTCCTCTCGGTATTTGCTGGTAAAGTCCCGGGAATCCTACCTTGAATATCTGCCAAAATTGAGCCATCTAGCCTATTTGCCTCTCCATAGCTAGCATAGATGATTTCATATTATTGTTGATGGCTAGCTGTTGAGTGACAAATTGATCAAGACCCTTGAAATTATTTTCTGTTTTCTGCATATGAGCAAAAATCAACTCCTCCAACTGGGGCTTCTTCTCTGGTTGAGGCTGCTGCTGTTGAAAACCGGGAGGTGGGATGTTTCGCACACCAGCTGGATTATTATTCGACCATGACATGTTGGGGTGATGTCTCCATTGAGGGTTATATGTATTTGAATACATACCACCCTGGCCTTGACTTCGCGGATTATTCATATATTGGACATCTTCCAACTTAGCAGCTCCCAGTGGACACATATCCCTATGATGAGCACCCTCGTAAAGTTCACATAAAGCAACCTCCTCTTGTCTACCCAGAGCAATCTTGGCCAGCCTTCATTCGAGTGCATCGAACTTAGAATCCAGCTTGGCATCTATCTTGGCTTCTAGACTCGCAACTCTGTTTATCTCATGCAAGCCTCCTCTTCTTAGAATATTGGTCTCACTACCCCATTCAGTGGCTTCTGAACAGATCTTCTCTACTAGATCATATGCTGCTGGTGCCTCCATGCTTGTGAAACCATTTCTAGAAGCATTATTCAGGGCATCTCGGAACTCCCTTCTGATTCCATTGAAGAAAATAATGATCACGTTCCAATCTTCAAGACCATGGCTTGGGCATCTCATCAATAGCCCTTTATAGCGCTCCCATGCCTCAGTCAGACTCTCATCATCAGCCTGCTTAAAAGTAACAATCTCTTATTGCCTCTTCATTGCCAAGGCTGGTGGGAAGTATTTATCCAGAAAGACCTTCTCAAGCTGAGCCCATGTCGTGATGGAATGTGGTGTTAAGTTCTTAAACCACTGTGATGCATTCCCTATCAGAGAGAATGAGAACATCCGAAGACGAATTGCATCATCAGACAGTTGGGCTCTTCATCGTATCACATATGCTCGCAAACCGGCAAAGATGCTCGTGAGGATCCTCACTGCTATTGGCGATCATGTTGATGAATGCTGGGGTAATCTCCATGGTTGCATCCCCAGCCGGAATGACAACACATGAAGCCGGGCTCCACTCTTTCGATTCAAGCGAGCCCTGATCGAACAATCATGTTCTGCCATGATGACAGGCTCGATAATGCGAGGTGGTGGTGTCGGTGGTGTAGGGATGCAGGTGATGAAGCATGTCCTCTCTGTCGACGACTATGGGTTAGGGAAGGCCTAGGAGTTGTGATTGACTGCTTCCCTAACTTGACCTGCTTCCTGTTCTGTCGGCAGGTCTTCTCGATCTCCGGATCTAGTGGCAGTAAATCGTCGGTCGTCCTCCTAGGCATGCACGAGGAGGATAAACCTGAAAATTCTTCTGCACACTAACACCCAGATCAAAATAGTTCACTCACAAAAATAAATAAAAATAAGATATGGCAGTCCCCGGCAACGGCGCCAAAAACTTGATAGGGCAAAAGCGTAATGCTTCAATTCCTATCTTGTAGTAAAACCGGAAATCCGGGTATCGTCTCTCAGGGACTGGTACAACCTTATAATTTATTAATTCTGTGGAGCAAACTATAAGTGAAAAATGGTTTGGTTGACGAGATTATTAACTAATAGCAAAATAATAAAACTAATTAAGCAAAGTAAACTTGTCGGGAGAAATTCCATGGGAGAAGCTCTGGGAGAAACACCGGGACTCACTACCTATCATATCAAAATTAATTCACATATTCCAATCAGTTTAATCCAATTCTATACAGCCAGGATATCACTAATGTGCTAGCTATCCCTGTCGGGAATTACTACGTACTAAACAATTAATTCAAATCCTACTGTCGTAGCTCAATGACTTAATTATTTAGCCTGAAGATCGATATCCAATTTAAGACCGCATAGCACCTTATTTAATCCACTATCGCTTCGATAAGTTACTATGTCACATGAAATACGTTCGGTTAATAGGGTTTCACTGTCCCTAATAACCTAATCAACTACAAATCGATGTATTGGTGGCCAGTCAACACAAAGCATTAAGCAATTTCATGCAATAGAGATTGGAAGAAAAGAATTATTAATCAATCCATCAAATATAGAAATAGCTACATCCTATGGTGTTTCCCCCAGAAATTGGGGTTTAGTTCATGACGAAAATAAAACACACAATCATGTTTATAATCATCATCGTATTAATCGGGGGATAAAAGTTTAGAAAGAATTCACTCCGGGATCGCTGATGATCGCAGGGTTGAACTACTTCTCCTTTCAGTTCACTCTATCCCGCGCTAACAAGCTGCTCGTTGTGCTGCTTTCTTCTTCCCAAAAAGGAATTTCGCTCCCTCTCCACAAGAATTGTCCATTTCCTTCTCCCACTATAATTCCACGCCACAGCTCCAATTATTCCATCCCAAGAATTTCGTTCCTCTCCTTTAATTCCCTTCCATCCCAAAAATAATCCAAACCTTTATAATTAAGCTTCCAGTTGATGGGTGGGCCAGACAACACCTAGTAGCCACCAGGCCTCAGCACTCGGTCAATCTCCAACAGATAAAGTCCATCATTATTAGTCCATGGAACCAGGCATCTCGAGCAATGAGCCATGCCGAATGATCTTGATGGGAATGGAAGCCTGTGGACGCTGAGTATACCGAGCATGGCAGGAAGGTCCGGTTCCAATTCCTCCATCCGCCCAGGGCCCAGGCCCAAAAAGAATCCCCAGCCCGCAAAAGTCCAGTCCCGGTTCAACTCCTAAGTAAGGTCTGGTCCAATTATTCTATCACCAATGCAAATTTCTCGTTTCATTTACCTGAAATATATAAAATATTTGGCACTTGATGGTAATGGTTTTGCAACCATTCCATAGTCAATTAGGCTTCGAACAAGCATTATATGTCTCAAACATATAATGAAATAATCACATTAATCACGCAAAATCAATATATTTTCGACAATTATCACCACTTCTACGAGAACACCAAGTTGTAGAAAGAGCGGACAAAGCATCTCCACTACGCTCGATTGAAGTCCCCGAAGGAGTTTTAGGTTGGCGATGGATTTATTCTTTATAACTCTCGCCTGAAACTCTTTCCGGTAAATCTCCACTCCAGATGGTCGGGACCATTCATGGTCACAAAGGTATTCCCGTATGGCACTATCGAGATTGCCAGCCTGCAACCTGAGCTGTTTAAAGTGAATGTCCACCGCCTCAAGCATTATCTGGGGGGTGAGGTCGAACGCGCAGTGTTGATGGTTGAACTCGCGGACCCTTAGTGTCGCTGATTGCGTCTAGCTAAAGAAATAAAAGAAAACACTTGTGGGGAGGCAACCCCACCATGGTTTGCATTTCGTTTCCTTTTCTCCTTTAATTTTTGGTCTTTGATTCGTTTCGTGTGTGTCGAAGTACCTGCCTGCCTTGCTTTCGCGATAAATCCTCAATACCTGGGTTGCAGAGGTTCTGCACGTCCACGCCACAGAAGTGTACGACCGCGTACTATCCAGCCTTGCCCGTGCGTCCTCTCTGGAAATCACACACGGGGAAAAGGGGCACCTGTACGGCCGGCCTACCCGTGCAGCATTCTCGGCCGCATACGAGCTAATTCTGCGTTCGCACGATCGTATGGCCTGCCTATGCAGAATCCTCGGCCGCGTACAACACCTTCTGATTCTACACGATTGTACGGCCTGCCCATACGAATTGCCCAGTTTTCCTATAAAAATTCGTGCACGACCGTGCGACCCCATTTTGTCACGATTTCTCGCCAGAATCCTCCCCCTTGCCATAAAATCGCGATTTTTCAAACTATTGGTCGATTTTCTGGCCATTTTCGGTCTCTTTTCGTGAAACCAACTCCAGAACCATTCACACTTGCACCTCGCCAGCCTCTTCCTTCATTTTGGTGAGATTGGGGTTGGTTTTGGTTCGCCTGAGGTGATTTCCGGTGATACGCCGACGAGGCTTCGACGAGCACACTTTGGCAGAATTTTGGATTTTCGTCACTTCCATTGCCTTCCCCTACACCTCTACTTGAGTCTCCAAGTTTTTTTTGCCCTCTACTTGGGTCTCTATGGTTCGAATTTACTTGAAATCAAGTGTGGGGGTGTGCTAACCTTCACTTTCCTACTTTGTTGGCTCCATTTAATTTCATTTTCTTGCAGGATCATGTCGAAGCCTAGCCTTAAGAATCGGTTCATCCAAGATATGAATTCGGGTCCTCACAAAGCCAGTTTAAGCACGTCCTGGAGGCTATGTTTGGCAAGCACCATTTCTGGAGCAAGAGAGCATTACAGAGCATCAACTGCTATGATGCCCTCCATGTTGTTTCTCGCAACCGAATGTGGTGCCGCCTGCTATCCCTGTATGATAGGGTCTATTATGAGTTGGTGATCGAGTTCTACTCCACCTTTGAGCACACTGAGACCACCGATTGGAAGGATAGTGAGCCTATTAAGTTTAGGCTGGGCGGTGATTACCACTCCATGAGCTACCACGAGTTTGCGGCTGCCTTCTCTTTCCAGACCTCCTAATGCCAGCTTGCTCGGCCACCCTACGAGACCACCGCTGAGGGTTTCCCCGCCGCTCGGACGAAGGCCAGCACGCTGCAGACCGAGTATCGTCTCCTCCACCACTTGTTTACGAAGTCCTATGCTTCGAGTAGCGAGAGTGTCTACATCCTAACCAAACGGTCCCTCTACTTCATGCATTTGATCTATACCGTCCACCACAAGCTGCACTTGGGGTCCGTTTAAGCGAAGACTTTCGCCAAGAGGGTTGTGACTTTGGGGACCCTCCACTACACTCCACTTATCACCATGTTGGCCACCCACCTTCAGTTTGATTACCAGGATTGCACGGACAAGGGCGAGGCATGTTCTTTTGGGAAGGACACAGTTCCCAAGATGCGGCTCCTGCGGGCGTCACATGGAGTCAAGGGGGTCGATCGACTGCCCATACTAGCCATCCCTAACCTAATCGAGATGGAGCAGGATGCCGAGACTAGGGCTGAGGACGGCGCTGCTACCCATCAGACATTCCACTATAGTACCTTTGAGCTTGGGGGTTGCAGCATTTCTGTCTTGTCCCTAGATTACTTCTCCCGCCAGTTCGAGCAGACGGGTCTCCAGTTTCAGTAGCTGGGTATCCAAAACTAGCAGATCATGGACCATAAGGTCCAGTTTCACCAGCAATATGATGCCCATCTCGCGGAGTACACCTCCCGCATGGCTTCTTATGACAAGCACCTTGACCGCATGGATGCTCAGTTGGGCATCACCCTTGCTCATATCGAGCTTGAGTGCGGCCGAGCCCGCAGGATAAAGGAGGTGCAGCAATACTTGCTTGCGTAGGTCCCAGGTAACTCACCCGCCTGGCAGACCCCATGGGAGGCCTCGCTACTACCATCACCTTCGCCGAGTGACGATGACTATATGAGGGACATCAACTTCGACATCACCGGTGACGAGTAGGTTCTACTCGTCAGCCCTTTCAGTGTGTTCTTTTGTGTTATGTTTTCTCCATGTGTTTACAGAGCTTGACTTGTGTCGTTTGTGTGTTTGGTTTGATTTTCGTTTTTCTTTGTGTGCCCATTTGGGCTGGTGATAGACCGTTAATTACACATGTTTTCACCCCTGTTCTTACACCGTTTGAGATGTGATTTCTCGTATTTTAGACCAATTTCACGCTAGGTTGTGCTTGTTTGTGATATTTCAGGTCCTGGCAAGTGAATGAAGGTTTAGGAGCGAGTTCGGGGTCGATTGGGCGAAGATCGGGCGCGAGACAAGTCACAAAGGAGGTCACACGGGCACACCCACAACTCACACGGCCGTGCAAGTGACCACTTTGGCCGTGTGAGATTGTGCGAGAGCAAACACGGCTTGCCCTGATGTTCACACGGTCGTGTGAAGGAGTGGTTTGGCCGTGCGAGTTTCGCCGAGAGCAAACACGGGCAGATGGAAATCTCACACGGCCGTGTGACCCTGGCCGTGTGAGAAGCCTGAAGATCGAACTAATTGGAACGCAGCGTTTTGACTCACACGGGCAACTGGGTAAGCCACACGGCCGTGCCACCCTGGCCGTGTGAGTCGGGATTTTCTGCTTTTAAGCAGATTTTCAGCCACAAGTCGAGGGGATTCGAGTTTTTGAGAGAGAGAACGATTCCTAGAGAGAGAAAGCGACGAACAAGAGTCTCCAAGTGCCCTAGATTGATCTTCAACACCATTGGAGGCCAGTTTGAGCTTGGAGAAGTGCCGATCAACGTCTAGGAGGAGGAATCCATCCTTCACAGTATGAATTCCGCGTCTGATTCTGCTTTTGCTTCTTTCTCCATGGAGTAGTTCTCCCATTCATCTGGGTATGGAGAACCCTAGATTTGTATGTTAGGCTTTGATTGTATGAACCCAAGTACTGATTCTATGATTTGATTATATTCGATTGAGGTTTGAATGATTGAATGACTTGAATCCTGATCAAATTCCTGTTGTTTCTGCTTTAACCTAGAATGAGAATATCTGCCTAGGTTGATAGAGCATCCTTGATTGAAGGTAGGGAGTTGGTGACTTTAGTCGAGGAGCCAACTCACTATTCTGTACCGGATTTACTCCGGTAGTGGAGGTTTTGTTTGTTAAGGCCTCAATCTGTTTACTCCGGTGGAGGTTAGTCGCCCGCTAGAGACTCAGATTGAGAGGGTCTGAAGACCTTTAGTCGAGACTTCAGGCTGTTTAAGAACCTTCCACAATATAACTATCATAGAAACTGAACTTGGTAATTACAATCCGGCTTAACTGCAGTCTAGGGGGAACCATATCCGGGTGACCTCTCTTAACCTGAATACAACTGTTTACTTGCTTTGTTAGTTTGTTAGTTTAGACTTGCTTTAAAGTTTCATTGCTAGATAACAAGAATTCACTGAGTAGTCATCAAATCTAGGACCCGGGTTGATAATTAAACCCAAACCCGCTATACTACGCTTTAGGAAGTGGTTTCACTTGGCCAATTCATAGGGTGACAGTAGAAGTGAGTCAAGTTTTTGGCGCCGTTGCCGGGGACGGCTAGGTTGTTGAAGAAAAGTGATTTCTGTTAATTTAGCTTTTCTTTTTGTTTTGTTTTCTTTGTCCCACTTGTGCCTTCACGGGTTTGCTTGCTTGAGTGTGTGCAGGTAGTGCATGACCCGTAGCCAGTCGGGAGGTTTACTGCCGTTGAATCCAGAGATTGACCCCACCTGTCGCCAACTCAGGAGACAGCAGCGAGCTGGACTAGCTATGGAAGAGCGCCTAGACGGCCACTTGAGTAGCGATTCTGAAGAAGAGTACGGGATGGACGGAGACTACAATCAGCACCAGGGGAATCCTCAGCAGGCTCCCCCGGTGAATCAGGTCCTAGGGAACAACCCCATACCCCAGGATCATGGAGTTCATCATTGACACGCCAAAACACAACACCAATCTGCGACCAAGTGTAATCGCAGACCGGGAATGCAGTAACAGGCAAGTTATATTATCAACCCGGGCTCTAGATCTACTGCTTACTCAGTGATTCTCTGTTATCTAGCCAACTAGAGTAAGTGATTGTTGTTTAAACTAAAAGCAGAAATAAAGCAGGAAATTATTCGGTTTTCTTAAGCAGGAAAGAGTCACTCGGGAATGAATCCCCCTAGCTCTTTAGTTAGGTTTCAATTGCAATTTACCCTGGGTTGATTTACTGTTGATTAGACTGCGGAAGATCCGGCAGTAGCTTGGAATCTCTTAAGCTGACCAAGCCCTTTCAGTCTAACTACCCGGCAGACGACTAGTCTTCACCGGGATAGAAAGCTGAAGCAGTAAGAACAGAAATTCACTACTGGAATTAGATTCCAGTACAGAGCAGTAAACTGGCTAACTCTCGTATAACCAGTCTCCTACTATCGAATGATGAGACTCGAGCAACCTAATCAGATTCTATCTATCTCAGATTGCAGCAGGAATCAGGAAAAGTTGATCAGACTTCAATTGACTCAATAAACATGCATCATTCGATTATAATCAAACAGTAATATCATCCCAAGTCATTACAATCAATCCCCTAACACATAGAACTAGGGTTCTTCATCCCCAAGTGAGAGAGAGGTTCTACTCCATAGAGAGAGAAAAGAAAACAGTAATCGGAGTAGTCATACTCATAATGATGAGGAAAATCTGCTCCGGGATGATGATTTCCACTCCTAGGACGATCTCCAAGCTTGAATTGATGAAATCCAGCTCCAAGATGGCTTCTAGGGTGAGTTCTTCGTTCTTTCTCTCTCTAAAACTCTGTTTTTGCTCAAGAAATTCGATCTCCCCTTCCTTGGCTCGATTCTGGCCTCAAAAACCCGACTCTGGGCGAATTACGGGCTGAATTACGGCCGTTATCACGTCCTGCCCGTAATTCGCCCCAAAACGCACGTTTCAATTAAGCTGAAGGAGGAGAAGATACGCCCGTAATTTCACAATTACCGCCAGTAATTTGTGAATTACGGTCGTAATTCTTGGGAGTCTTGCCCGTAATTTTATCACCGAGAGGAAATTCTGGGGAAAAGGCTCGGCAATTGTTTTACGGGCATGCCCTGACCAATTACGGTCGTAATTTGGCAGGGGCTGCCCGTAATTCGTTCTGTGATTCGCCATCTGACCTCCGAATGACCTGAAACTTGCGCCTATGCACCTCTGTACTTGCTAGGACCTGAAATATGGCAAAACAACACAACCTAGCGTAAAATAGGCCAAGCAACAATCAATTCGAGCCAAAATGGACAAGAAATCCGAGTGAAAACATGTGCAAATACGATGCTATCAATCATCCACCGCAGCCGGGTCCCACCTTGGAGTACTACTACACTCCTCGGATTGCTGACATCCGCCCAGTCATCCTCTACCCGCCTATTCCAGCAAATAACTTCGAGATCAAGCCATGCTGGATTCAGCTCATCACATCCTCTATCCAGTTCCATGGCTTGAAGGATGAGGAGGCCAGGGTGCATCTTTCCCGTTTTCTGCAGCTGACGAACGGGTTCAAGCTGAATGGTGTCCCAGATGATGCAATCCGCCTTCATCTCTTCCCCCATTCTCTGGCGGGGAATGCTAAGAGGTGGTTGGAGACCCATCCCCCATTGTCCATCACCTCTTGGGACGATCTGGCTGACAAGTTCGTGCACAGGTACTATCCGGCATCGAAGACTACAGAGATCCAGCGGGAGATCACTCACTTCCGCCAAGAGCCAGATGAGTCACTTCGTGATGCTTGGGAGCGGTACATGGGCTATTTCTGGCAGTGTCCCCATCATGGCTTCAGTGATGCATTCACAGTGGGGAACTTCTACAGTGCTCTCTCTCCAGATAGCCAGAGGGTGATTGAGTCTCTATGCCCAGGAGGGGATATTCTTACTAAGACTCCACCCGAGCTGAACCAGATGATCAGTACTTTGGCTGCCAGAGATCATTCTTGGGGACAGGGTAGCCGAGGCAGACAGTCCCGAGACCGTAGTGTGCACGCCATGGAGACCAGATCTGGGCACGAGCAGCAGGTAGCTGAGCTAGTGGAGGTTTGGCTACACCTCCAGTAGCTCAATGTCAGTTGTGCAAGAGCTCCAATCACCTAGTGGAGGACTGCCGGGCTATGAGGGAGTCTACCACACCCCAGGAGCAGTTGGCCTTCATCGCCAATGCGCGGCGCCTCGATCCATACAGTAACACATATAATGAGGGGTGGCGCCAGCATCCCAACTTCGCCTGGAGCAGCAACACCACTAAACCACCTGGTTTCCTAGCACCAGCAGGTGGTTTTCAGCAGAGGCAGCCCCTCCAGGCTCGACAGGGGCCAGCCCCACAGCAGCAGCCCTACCAGCCTAGGCAGTGGCAACCATTCCAGCAGCCCCAGCGCCCGTTTGCCGAGCCAGCAGCAGCTCCAGATGACCGGATGACAAAGCTGAAGAATATTCTAGCTTCATTCATGACGAGCACTCAGGCTGCTATCACGTCACTGGAGGCAGGTCAGAGGAACCAAGGTGCCATTTTGCAAGATCTGTAGACCCAGGTGGGCATCTTGGCCCGCCAAAACACTACCAGGGCACCGGGGACTCTGCCTGCCACCACTATCCCGAATCCTCGGGACCCTCACCAGCTCCAGCAGCTGGATGCCATTTTCACCAGGAGTGGTAAGACCATATCTGCTGATCCTGTCCCGGCCAGACAGGAGGAACCACTACCTGCTTCAGCACTTTCAGCCGACGATGCAGAAGTGCGGGTGGAGAAGGAAGCCCCTGCTCCCAAACCACAACCAGTGGTTAAGGAGCATGTGCCTAGCTTCCCTTCCCCACTCGCCTACACAAAGACAAGCTGGAGACTGAGTTTGCCAAGTTCATGGCAATGTTGAAGCAGCTCAACATCAGCATACCGTTCGTGGAGGCACTGTCGAAGATGCCCAAGTATGCCAAATTCATGAAAGATCTCCTCACCAACAAGAGAAACTTGGGGATCTTTCGACAGTGATGCTTAGTGAGGAGTGTTCTGCTATCCTGCAGAACAAGCTGCCCGAAAAGCGCAAGGATCCAGGGAGTTTTACTATCCCTCTTACTATTGGCAGCATGCATGTAGGTAAGTCCTTGGCGGATCTAGGTGCTAGCATAAATGTCATGCCATATAAGTTGTTTAAGAAGCTAGACTTAGGTGAACTTAGCCCTGCTAGGATGAGCATTCAGCTCGCTGACCGTTCTATCGTGCATCCTAGGGGTATCATTGAGGATTTGCTTGTTACTGTAGGTGCATTCACATATCCTATTGATTTTGTTATTCTTGATATACATGAGGATGTGGATGTGCCTTTGATTCTAGGTAGACCATTTCTTGCCACCGCCAAGGCACTTATTGATGTGCATGATGGTAAACTGATCTTGCGTGCTGGGAATGACCAGGCTACTTTTTCTATGACTGAATTCGATCACTGTGCTATGATTACTGTCACGCCTGTACATGCCATTTCTGATCAGGTACACGAGCCTGTCGTGTATCCTTCTGCACCTCCTATTTTGCAGGACCCTCCTATCATTCCTTCGCCGCACTCCATCCAGCCTCGCCTCCGAACAAAAAGCTCAAGGAGGAGTGGCGGCCGAAGCAACAGGTTGCCAAGCCTGCAAGGAAGAAGGGTGGAGACCACTATGAGCTGGTCCCACCTTCTGCACCATGACCACCCTGGCCGTCCGGGTACTCACTCACCTGCATCTTGCCGGATGGCCAGATCGAGCTGACCGATGATGGTGGTCGCATCCGTCGGGTGCATGGCCACAACCTGAAGCTGTACCTCAAGAGCGACGTGGATCCGCTCTTGGAGGCACCTGTTCCTGCACCTCCCTGAGTATCCACCATGGGCGTCCAGCTAAAAGACGGTAAAGAAGCGCTTGTGGGGAGGCAACCCCACCACGGTTTGATTTTCTTTCTTGTGTTTTGAGTCGGATTGTAAACCAGTTTGGTTTTGGTTTGTTTTCTTTTGTTTTGGATGATGTTTTATTGGGCTGACCATTGGACCTAACATATTGTGTTTGAGCTCTTTGGTTTCCTTTGGCTGTGCTTGTCTTAACTGGTACTCTCTCCAGTCCACTTCCAGTCTCCTGCAGTCCGTGCATACCGGTAACATCTTTCCCTTTCCCTTCCCTCTTCTCCATTGAGGGCAATGTCGATCTTAAGTGTGGGGGGATGTTTATCTTTTGACTGCATTAGATCTGTTTGTGTGCTTGGAGCCTAGTCCACTGTCCAAATTTTTAAATTTGAGGGCTCCAAGTACGTGTTTCCGTGCAATTGCCTGCTCAGTATGCTTTGAATTGACAGTCTTTATAGTAATATGCAACCTAGGGAGGTAGTGTAGCACTATGGAGGATGTTGATGCATTTAAGAAGTCTCATTTCTTCTTCATATTGTGTTGGTTGATTGAGTGAATTAGTGATTTTAGGACCCTTGAATTGTGTGATGTTGTGGATTCTCTACCTGCCATGGACTCTTGTATCATGTTTTGAGTTTAACAGGTGCTCGAAAATGTGCTTCAAAATAACGTCTCCCGTGCGAATAGGGCGAAAGTGTGTAAGGGGAGACGGGAATTCGTTCCCAATTTCCACCTACTACCTCCAGCCCCCTTACATGTCTTTCCCCCGCACGAGGCTCGAGACATCCGCTCCTGGCATGGCCGGTAAGAGCAGGTTGGGACCCTTGAAAGAAAAAAGAAAAGAAAAGAAAATAACAGAAAACAAGCAAAACATAAAGAAAAGGGGTTCCAACCATCTTCAAGAAGAAAATAGAGCACCTTGAAAAATGTGAGTCCATGATCCTTTGTTTTTGAGAATCTCTTCATCCACAATTCATTTGTCCTCTGTTCACTGTTTGCCATGATGCCGACTAGATACTAGTGCTCTCGCCGAAGAAGCTATGAGATGACTTATGCGTCGGTTGACCTCGTAAGCTGCTAAATGATCTAGGAAGTCCTCTACCTACGATCTGGGTTGTTTGTTGCTATAGAGGTCTAGAGAGTTGCATTGGTTTGAGTTAGGTTTGCTTGGGGACAAGCAAACGGTTAAGTGTGGGGGAGTTTGATAGACCGTTAATTACACATGTTTTCACCCCTGTTCTTACACCGTTTGAGATGTGGTTTCTCGTGTTTTAGACCGATTTCACGCTAGGTTGTGCTTGTTTGTGATATTTCAGGTCCTGGCAAGTGAATGAAGGTTTAGGAGCGAGTTCGGGGTCGATTGGGCGAAGATCGGGCGCGAGACAAGTCACAAAGGAGGTCACACGGGCACACCCACAACTCACACGGCCGTGCAAGTGACCACTTTGGCCGTGTGAGATTGTGCGAGAGCAAACACGGCTTGCCCTGATGTTCACACGGCCGTGTGAAGGAGTGGTTTGCCCGTGCGAGTTTCGCCGAGAGCAAACACGGGAAGATGGAAATCTCACACGGCCGTGCGACCCTGGCCGTGTGAGAAGCCTGAAAATCGAACTAATTGGAACGCAGCGTTTTGACTCACACGGGCAACTGGGTAAGCCACACGGCCGTGCCACCCTGGCCGTGTGAGTCGAGATTTTCTGCTTTTAAGCAGATTTTCAGCCACAAGTCGAGGGGATTCGAGTTTTTGAGAGAGAGAAAGCGACGAACAAGAGTCTCCAAGTGCCCTAGATTGATCTTCAACACCATTGGAGGCCAGTTTGAGCTTGGAGAAGTGCCGATCAACGTCCAGGAGCCGGAATCCATCCTTCACAGTATGAATTCCGCGTCTGATTCTGCTTTTGCTTCTTTCTCCATGGAGTAGTTCTCCCATTCATCTGGGTATAGAGAACCCTAGATTTGTATGTTAGGCTTTGATTGTATGAACCCAAGTACTGATTCTATGATTTGATTATATTCGATTGAGGTTTGAATGATTGAATGACTTGAATCCTGATGAAATTCCTGTTGTTTCTGCTTTAACCTAGAATGAGAATATCTGCCTAGGTTGATAGAGCATCCTTGATTGAAGGTACGGAGTTGGTGACTTTAGTCGAGGAGCCAACTCACTATTCTGTACCGGATTTACTCCGGTAGTGGAGGTTTTGTTTGTTAAGGCCTCAATCTGTTTACTCCGGTGGAGGTTAGTCGCCCGCTAGAGACTCAGATTGAGAGGGTCTGAAGACCTTTAGTCGAGACTTCAGGCTGTTTAAGAACCTTCCGTAGTATAACTATCATAGAATTTGAACTTGGTAATTACAATCCGGCTTAACTGCAGTCTAGGGGGAACCATATCCGGGTGACCTCTCTTAACCTGAATACAACCGTTTACTTGCTTTGTTAGTTTGTTAGTTTAGACTTGCATTAAAGTTTCATTGCTAGATAACAAGAATTCACTGAGTAGTCATCAAATCTAGGACCCGGGTTGATGATTAAACCCAAACCCGCTATACTACGCTTTAGGAAGTGGTTTCACTTGGCCAATTCCTAGGGTGACAGTAGAAGTGAGTCAGCTGGCAACTATCCCTGACAAACATTGTGCTAGTGGTTGTTTCAGAGACCTTCTCTTATAGCGAATGGTTCCTCTTCCAGTCCCATGTTTCTGATGACTGGTCCCCGCTCTAGTTTGTGTCTACTACCATCATTTTCCCTGTAACATTGGTTCACCCTACTCTATATCCTCTGCTCCATTAAGGGCAATATCAATCTTAAGTGTGTGTGTTGGCGGGGGGGGGGGGGGGGGGGGGGGGGGTGTTTTGTGTTTATCGGGCTTACTATGTGTGTGTTTGGAGCCTAGTCTACTGTCCAACTTTCGATTTGAGGGCTCCAAGTACGTGTTCCTTGAAGTCGTCTGCTCAGTATGCTTTGTATTCACAGTCTTTATGATAACATGCAACCTAGGGAGGTAGTTGTAGCACTATGGAGGATGCTGAATTATAAGATCCTTCCTATCTTTCTCTTTGCTATGCCGATTGTTTGTGTGAAGTAGTGGTTTTAGGACCTTTGATTCATGAGGTGTCGATGACTCTCCGTGTGCTGTGTGTTTGGACGCATGTATCATATAAGGTTGCTTAATGTGCGTAGCAAAAAGCAGTTGGCAAGGTCTCCGCGTGATGTTTGGACTCATGGATCACGAGAAGAGGGAGGGCGAGGCGAGCGGCCGCACTAGCATTGGCGAGGTCTCTGAGAGCTCAGTTAAGACCCAACGTTAGTTCTACTTAAGTTATTTCATTTTGTGATTTGAGTATGTACTTGAGATAAGGTCGAGACTTACAAGTTTAAGTTCGCCAATGTGTTTAGGGCATTGCATTTGATGTATTTCGTTTGAAAGGATTCAGTTGTGTTTGTTAATGAAAATTTTTTAGGTTCTTTTTAATTGACTCTGGAGCCATGTGTATTTCGGTTTGTTAAAAGGATTATGATGTTTCATTTTGTATCAGAGCCAGTTGTTGAGCCTACTTCCGCTAGGAAACCTTTAAAGAGAAAGATGACTAACAAAAAGATAATAATTGTGGAGAATACGGTTGGATCAATGATGACTCGATATTTGCACGTATTTTGTCCACCATTCTTATACTGTTTGAGGCTCATTTCTTGTATTTTAAACCAATTTCACGCTAGGTTGCTCTTATTAGTGATATTTCAGGTCCTAGTATGTGAATGATAGTTTGGGCACGAGTTCGGGGTCGATTGGACGAAGTTAGGATGGGAAGCTGAGGCATTTACACGGGCAAGAGCTGATTCTGCACGGTCGTGTGTTGTGGCCGTGCAAGTGGTTTTACGCGGCCATAAGTGGTACGGGCTGTGCAAGGGCACCCTCTGGCCGTGTTAGTTTTCCAAAGAGTTGCACAGGAAAGATCAAATTTTACATAGTTGTGCGATGGCCGTGTGATTCCCTCGACCAACTAAGTGCAACGCTGCGTTTCGGGATTTACACGGACAAGATGGATTTTACACGGCCGTGTGGTCTGGCCGTGTAATCGGGCATGATTGTGTTTTAACCCAATTTGGGTTTTGCAGAAGGGATCCGAGTTTGGAGAGCTGAAACAGAGTTTTAGAAAGAGAAAGTGACAAACTCACTCTCTAAGGTGACATAGATTGGAGCTTGATTGAAGCCTGGAGAAGCACCGATTGACAACCAGAAGCTGATTATCATCCTCCACGAGATGATTTATGCATCTAAAGCTGATTTTCCTTCTCTCTCTATGAAGTAAACTCCCTCTCTCTCCTGGGTATGAAGAACTCTAGATTTGTATGTTAGGTTTGATTTATGAACCCAAGTACAAGATCCTTCGACATTGATTATATTCAATTGAGGCATGAATTCTGAATTGCTTGATTCCTGATCACATTCTTGTAGTTTTTGCTTTGACCTAGAAAGAGAATATATGCCTAGGTTGATAGAGCACTCTTAATTGAAGGTGGTGAATTGACAACTTTAGTCAAGGAGTCAATTCACTGCTCTATACGGAATTTTCTCCAGTAGAGGAGGTTTGGCACGTTAGAGCCTCAGTTCGTTTACTCCGGTGGAGGTTAGTCGCCGCCTGGTATTCAAACTGAGTGTTTCGAGACCTTTAGTCGAGACTTTAGACTGAATAAGAACTTTCCACAGTAAAACTGTCATTAAATTTGGGCTTGGTGAATTACAATTCGGGTTAACTGCAATCTAGGCGAAACCATATCCGGGTGACCTCTCTCAAACTTGAACCACAACCTTTATTGCTTAGTGTTTGCTTAGTTTAATTACAACCTCGCTACAGTTAAATAGCTAAATAACTAGAATTTCACGGAGTAGTCACCACACCTAGGATCCGGGTTGACAAATAAAGCTAAACCCGCTATACTGTGCATTAGTAGGTGGTTACACTTGGCCACTTTCTAGTGCGACACTTGGTCGGGACCGTTCACAGTCACGCATGTGTTCTCGTATGGCACCATCGAGATTGCCAACCCACAAACTAAGTCGTTTAAAGTCAATGGCCACCGCCTCAAGCTGTATCTGGGCGGCAAGGTCGAACGTGCAAAGTTGGTGATTGAACTCGCGGACCCTTAGTTACGCTGACTGCATCTAGCTAAAGATGTAAAAGAAAGCGCTTGTGGGGAGGCAGCCCCACCATGGTTTGCATTGCTTTCCCTTTTCCTTTTCCTTTTTGGTCTTTGAGTCATGTCTTATGTGTCGAAGGAGTTGGATGTCTTGTTTTCTAAAGATATAGGGCGAACCGGGGGCTGCCGGAATTTTACACGGCCAGGTCCAAGGGCCACACGGCTGTGTAAAATTCGCCCTTTCCCGTGCGTATCTTTTGAAAGCACGCATGGGAACGAGGAGAACTAAGTACGGCCGTGGGACACACTCGACCATGCCATACGTTTTCCTCAACCTCGCACGACCAGGTTTTGAGATCACTTCGCCGCGTAAAAACTCAGCCCTGCTTGTGCATCTCTTTGTAAAACACGCATGGGCATGAAGGGGGCTTGGTACGGCCTTGCGAATCTCTCGGCCATGTTGTACTTTTTCCTCGGCCTCGCATGGTCATAATTCAAAATTAGATGACCGTACGTGGTACCCGTGTAGGTCGCACTTGCGCCTATAAAAGGTCGTGTACGGCCGTGCAACCTCAATTTCCCCCAAATCGCGCTGGAAAACTCCCCCCTCGCCGGAAAGTCGCGCCATCTCGATCTCCCGCCGTTTTTCTGGCCATTTGAGGTCGTTTTTCGCGAATTAGACCTCTGAACCTCTCCTTCCTCCCCCTTGCCGGCCTCCCCCGTCGTTTTCAGGCGCTTTGATCGGGTATGGGTCGCCGGAGTTGATTTCCGACGAGGCTCTGACGAGCAATTCCGGGCAGAATTTTGGCGATTTGTTGCTTCTCTTGCCTTCCCCTTACCTTTCCCTACACTAGCATGCATGAATTGGTAGAAAATTGACCAAGGGGAAGGCTAGGATTGAGTATTAGACATGTTGTGGATTGTGTTTCTTGATTAATCGGACCCTTGTGTGGTGAACTTGGGCATTTTTCATGTTTATCTTATTCATGCCCACAAGGTGTTTGATGAAATGTCTGTTTTTCATACCCTTTTGTGGGAGCTATTTGGTGGCCTTAATGACATGTTATGAGTTTTTGCTTATTATGGTTGCGAAGCTCGTGTTACCTATTTTCCTATTTGGGGACACTCCCCCTCTTTGACTATGCTTCGTTGTTTGAGTTGTTCCTTCGTGAACTATGGATGTCGCATGGTTCTTTTATGGTTAAACTCAAGTGTGGGGGTGTGCTAACCTTCACCCAGCTTTTTCCTTGGCACCACGATGGTTTGTTTTGATGCAAGATCATGTCCAAGCCCAACCTTAAGTATCGGTTCATTCAGGATATGAAATCTGGGCCGTACAAGGACTAGTACAACCGGGTGTTGAATGCCTCATTCGGCAAGTACCATCACTGAAATAAGAGAGCGTGACAGGCTCTCATCTGCTACGACTCCCTCGTAGCTGTTGTTCGCCACCAGACTTGGCGCCAGATGTTGTCCATCCATGGAAAGGTCTACCATGAGCTGGTGATCGAGTTTTACTCCACCTTCGAGCATACCAAGACAGAGGAGTACAAGACGGCTGGTACGATCAAGTTCCAGTTGGGAGGGGAGTACCACTCCATGAGCTATAACGAGTTTGTTGTTGCCTTCAACCTCTATCTGGAAGATAAGGATAAATTTGGCGTGGAGGTGGCCAGTCCACCTGGTGTCCAATTCTAGAAGGTCTACCGACAGATGGCTCGATCGCCTTACCACACTGCTGACTACAGTTTCACTGACGCCCAGACGAAGGCTAGCACTCTTAGGATCGAGTACCATCTCCTCCACCACCTACTCTCTAAGTCCTACGGTCCAAGTAGCGAGTCCACCAGCAGTCTCACCAAGCTTTCTATGTACTTCATGAACTCTTTGAGCGTCGTGGACCATCCCCTAAACTTAGGCTCTGTCTTGGTAAGACTATGGTCAAGAGTGCTTCTACCCGATAGACCATTAATTGCACATGTTTATACCCCCATTCTTGAGCCATTTGAGAGTCGATTCTCGTGTTTTAAGCCGATTTCACGCTAAGTTGTGCGTTAATGTCATATTTCAGGACTTGGCGTGGACATGGAGGCGTGGAAACGAATTTCAGGTCAAAAAGGAGGAAGTTGGAGTGAAGGGCGATGGAAGAAGAAAATACCCGGTCAGGAGTTGAAATACCCGATCGGGTAAAATGTAAGAGGAGGCCGGGAAAGCACATTTTGGAGGCCAGGAAACAGAAGGGGTCTCGGCCGGATCGCTTAAATACCCGATCGGGTATTCTGGACCTCGATCGGGTATACTCCCATGGCTGTTGCGTAGCGTTTCAAAATACCCGGCAGGTTACCTCAAATACCCGACCGGGTATTATGGCCAGGTATCACGTTTTGCTGCCTTTTGAGGGAAAGAAGACCAATTTCACAGGGGATCCTAATTATAGAGAAAGAGAGTAGATACCTAGAGAGAAAAAGTGACTTAGATTGATCTTCATCACCATTGGAGCTGGGCTTAAGCTTGGACAAGTGCAGATTGCCTACCAGAAGCCGATTCTCATCCTCAAAGCATGATTTCTGCATCTGACCTAGATTTCCCCTCTTTATCTATTGAGTAAACTCTCTCACTCACCTGGGTATGAAGAACCCTATATTTGTAGGTTAGGTCTGGTTGTATGAACCCAAGTACGAATTCTTTGATACTGATTATATTAAATTGAGGCATGGGTTTCTGAATTGCATGAATCTTGATCAAATTCCTGTTATTCCTACTTTGACCTAGAATGAGAATATCTGCCTAGGTTGATAGAGCACCCTTGATTAAAGGTAGTGAATTGAAGACTTTAGTCTAGGAGTCAATTCACAATTCTATACTGGATTTATTCCAGTAGAGGAGGTTTGGTACGTTAGGGCCTCAGTCTATTTACGCCGGTGGAGGTTAGTCACCCGCTGGAGACTCAGATTGAGAGGGTCTGGAGAACTTTAGTCGAGACTGCAGACTACCTATGAACCTTCCGCAGTATAATTATCATTGAATCTGAACTTGGCAAATTACAACTTGGCTTAACTGCAGTCTAGGGGGAACCATATCTGGGTGACCTCTCTCGAACTTGGAAAACAACATTTACTGCTTTTGCTTGTAAGTTTAGTTGTAACGTCACTACAGGTTAACCGCTAAATAATAAGAATCTCACGGAGTGGTCATCACACCTAGGACCCGGGTTGTCATTTAGAATTAAACCTGCTATACTATTGACTCGCTCCTACTGTCACTCTAGAATATGGCAAAGTGCAACCAGCTCCTAAAGCGTAGTATAGCGGGTTTGGGTTTTTAATGTCAATCCGAGTCCTAAGTGTGATGACTACTCCGTGAATTCTTATTATTTAGTAGTGAACGTGTGGTGAAGGTCAAAACAAGCAAACAAGCAAAGCAGTTAAAAGGTTGTTTAAAGTCGAGAGAGGTCACCCGGATATGGTTCCCACTAGACTGCAGTTAAGCCAGATTGTAATTTACCAAGTTCAAGTTCAATGATAGTTATACTGCGGGAGGTTCTTAAACAGCCTGCAGTCTCGACTAAAGGTCTCCGGACCCTCTCAATCTGAGTCCCCAGCGGGCGACTAACCTTCACCGGAGTAAACAGATTGAGGCCCTAACGAACCAAACCTCCACTACCGAAGTAAATTCGGTACAAAATAGTGAATTGACTCCTCGAATAAAGTCGCTAATTCACTACCTTCAATCAAGGGTGCTTTATCAACCTAGGCAGATATTCTCTTTCTAGGTTAAAGCAGAACAACAGGAATTTGATCAGGATTCATGCCATTCAATAAATCAAACCTCAATTGAATATAATCATATCACTGAATCTGTACTTGGGTTCATACCATCGAACCTAACATACAAATCTAGGGTTCTTCATACCTAGGGGAAAGAGAAAGTTACTCCATAGAGAGAGATGGGAAATCTAGCTCAGATGCAGAAACCATACTATGAAGGATGAGAATCTGCTTCTGGCACTCAATCAGCTCTTCTCCAAGCTCAAGTCAGGCTCTAATGGTGATGGAGTTCGATCAAAGACACTTGCAGAGATCAGGTTCGTCACTTTCTCTGTCTACGTATATGCTTTTTCTCTCTAAAACTCGGAACACCTCACTTTTGCCCTTATTTTCCCTTAAGAAGCTGTATGTCGCTATCCCCGATCTGAATACCCGGTCGGGTATTTTAGGAGGACACCGGGGATTCTCAAAATGCACCATTGGGGACAGGGGGTTAATCCCCGGTCAAGGCCAAGAATACCCGACCGGGGATTTAAGCGTCACGACCGGGCCCCCCTCTGCTTCTCAGATGCCCAAAAATCCTTTTCCCCGGTCTGCTCCAATTAATACCTGGCCGGGTATTTTGCCCCTCCTGCACACTTCAACTCAAACGTGCTCCTTCCGATCCAAAACTCGTTTCTTCGCCCCGATGTCAACGCCAAGCCCTGAAATATGACATAAACGCACAACCTAGTGTGAAATTGGCTTAAAACAAGAGAATCAACATCTCAAACGGCTCAAGAATAGGGGTAAAAACATGTGCAATCAATGGTCTATCAACTATGCATTAGTAGGTGGTTACACTTGGCCACTTTCTATTGTAACGGTAGGAGCGAGTCAAGTTTTATTTGGCGCAGTTGCCGGGGACGGCTATGTTGTTGAAGAAACGTGATTTCTGTTACTTTAGCATTTCTTTTCGACATTGATTGTTTTGCTTTGTCCCACTTGTGCCTTCACGGGTTTGCTTTCTTGGATTGTGTGCAGGTAGTGTATGACCCGTAGCCAGTCGGGAGACTTACTACCGTTAGACTCAGAGCTAGAACACACTTGTCACCAGCTTAGGAGACAACAGCGAGCAAGACTAGCTACGGAGGAAGTGCACATCGACGGCCATCTGAGCAGCGACTCTGAAGAGGAATACGAGATAGGCGATCAGCATAAGAGGGGGAACCTGAACCTGGGTCAGAATCAACACCTAGGGATTCCATCCAGGTCCCCCAAGTGAATCAGGTCCTGGAAAATAACCCAGTTCCCCAGCCAGATGGGGCTCAGCATCCACCACCCCCGCCGGGTCCTACTATAGAGTATTACTACACTCCACGGGTCGTCGACATCCACCCCGTCATCCTGTATCCACCCATCCCAGCAAATAACTTTAAGATCAAGCCATGCTAGATTCAACTGATCACATCCTCCATCCAGTTCCATGGCCTCAAGGATGAAGAGGCGAGGGTGCACCTTTCTCGGTTCTTGCAGCGTATCAATGGGTTCAAGCTGAATGGTGTACCAGATGACTCTATCCGTCATCATCTCTTCCCCCACTCTCTAGCGGGGCATGCAAAGAGGTGGCTAGGGACCCAACCCCCACTGTCCATCACGTCATGGGACGATATGGCCGACAAGTTTGTGCACAGTTACTACCCGGCCTCGAAGTCCACGGAGATTCAGCGGGTGATCACTCATTTCTGCCAGGAGCCAGATGAGTCACTACGTGATGTCTATGAGTGGTACTCGGGATTCTTCTGGCAGTGTCCCCATCACGGTTTTAGTGATGCATTCACAGTGGGGAATTTCTACAACGCTCTAACCCTAGAGAGCCAGAGGGTGATCGAGTCTCTATGCCTAGGAGGGGATATTCTCACCAAGACTCCACCCGAGTTGAATAAGATGATTAGTACTCTAGGTGCTCGAGATCATTATTGGGGGCAGACCACTAGAGGCAGGAGCTCCAGTGATCGAGGTGTGCATTCTATGGAAGCTAGATCTGGGCTAGAGCAGGAGGTGGCCGAGCTGGTCCATACATTAAATCAGCCCAATAGTCTCATTTTGCACAGAGGATTGGCTGGCCATTTAGTTGCACAGTGGCAGTGGTGTGAGAGCTCGAGCCACTTGGTGGAAGACTGCTTGGCTATGCGGGAGTCTACTACATCCCAGGAGCAGTTGGACTTCATCGCCAATGCTCAGCGCCTTGATCCTTAGGGGTGGGAAAACGGTTGCGGTTTTGCGGTTAAACCGCAACCGCACCGAATAAGAGCGGTTTGTGGTTAACCGCAAACCGTTTAAAATGGTCTTTATTCGGTAACAGTTAGTGAAATTGGCTCTTTTGCGGTTTGTGGACTAACCGCACACCGCACCGAATAAGTAACTTCACCGAATAACTAACCGCGTAAGAGTATACCCAACCCAAGCCCAACCCATCCAACAACCCAAAATGAATTTTCCAAGTGCATTTTCCGTATTAGAACTTAATGTGGATGGTTTCTTTTGGATGTTTAGAACTTAATTCTGTTTCTGACTTTTTCAGGTGCATTTTCCTTGTTTTAGTGTTAATTTATCAAGTGCATGTTGCTGGATTTTACAAGTTAATTCGGTTTTTGTTGCGGTTTTATTTCATTTCGCGGTTTTTTACACCGTTTAACTCTTAATCGCGGTGTGCGGTTTAAAGTGCAGTTAACCGCAATTAACCGCTAACCGTGATTTCGGTTAGTGGTTAACCGCAAACCGTTTGCATTGCGGTAACGGTGGGTGGTTTTCCCCTTGTGCGGTGGCGGTTAACCGCGCTTATTCGGTGCAGTTAACCGCAACCGCACCGTTTCCCACCCCTATTGATCCTTACGATGCAACATATAATGAGGGGTGGTCCCAACATCCCAACTTCTCCTAGAACAACAACACCACCACCAAGCCTCCCGGCTTCCCAGATTGAGCTGGTGGTTTTCAGCAAAGGCAGCCCTTCCAGGCCAAACAGGGCCATTTCCACAGCAGCAGCCCTACCAGGCCAGACAGGGGCAACCATTTCAGCAGCAGTTTGCCCAGCCGGCAGCAACCCCAGCACATGATGATTAGATATCCAAGCTGGGGTACATGTTGCAGACTTTCATGAGTACCATCACGACGAATTTTGACAGGCTAGATTAGTGCATCACTTCAATGGAGGCAAGCTAGAGGAACTAGGGTGCCATACTTATGGACCTCCAGAACCAGATTGGGGGCATAGCTTGCCAGAACACCACTAGAGCACCGGGAACTCTGTCTGCCACCAAAATTCCAAATCCTCGCGAGCCTCATCATCAGCTCGATGGCATTACCACTCGAAGTGGCAAGACGACATATGCTAACCCTGCTCCGGCCATGCAGGAGGAACCATCACCTGCTTCAGCACTTCCAGCTGACAACGAAGATGTGGGGATTGAGAAGGAAGCACTTGCTCCCAAGCCACAGCCAATGGTTAAGGAGCATGTTCCCCAACTTTCCTTCCCCAATCGACTGCACAAGGATAAGCTGGGGACTGAGTTTGCCAAATTCATGGCAACGTTGAAGCAGGTCAACATCAACCTGCCTTCCATGGAGGCACTGTCGAAGATGCCCAAGTACGCCAAGTTCATGAAGGATCTCCTCACCAACAAAAAGAAACTTGGGGATCTATCGATAGTGATGCTGAGCGAGGAATGTTCTGCCATCCTGCATAACAAGCTTCCCGAGAAGCGCAAAGACACAAGGAGTTTTACTATCCACTCTTGTCATTGGCAGCATGCATGTAGGAAAGTCCTTGGCGGACCTAGGCGCTAGTATTAATGTCATGCCCTATAAATTGTTTAAGAAGCTAAGTCTAGGTGAACCTAGAATCAATAGGATGAGCATTCAGCTCGCTGATCGCTCTATTGTGCATCCTAGGGGTATCATAAGGACTTACTTGTTAATGTGGGTGCATTCACATATCCTGTTGAATTTGTTATTCTGGATATAAATGAGAATGTGGATGTGCCTTTGATTTTTGGTAGACCGTTTCTCGCCACCGCCAAGGCGCTTATTGATGTGCATAGTGGCAAGTTAATCTTGCATGCTAGGGATGAACAAGCTACATTTTGTGTGTCCGATAATGCGAAGCATTCCCATTTGTATGATGACTTGGATTACTATGATATGCTGGCTAATTTTGAGAATGCACTCGCCATCATGAGTGCAGGTACTGATGATGCCTTGAGCGTTATATTTTGCTAAGTGGCCAGGCATCGCAGGAGCTACAGCTAGAGGTGCAGCTAGCTGCTCTAGAGAGTGGCGAGTTTCTGGAGGGTGCCAAGCAGTTCAAGCCGATCTCATCCTCTCCTCGCATCACCAACTCTCTGGAGGAGCCACCAGAACTGGAGCTAAAGCCCCTCCTCCTCACTTGGAGTATGCATTTCTCCGGGAGGGGAACAAATTTCCAGTCATTATTAGCTCGACCCTCACACACGAGCAGAAGGACAGACTGGTGGCCTTGTTGAAGCAGTACGAGCAAGCTCTAGCATGGAAAATCACTGATATCTGGGGGATCAGCCCCTCCTTCTGTTCCCATCGTATACTATTAAAGGATGAGATGCGGCCAGTGAGACAGCCCCAGCGGAGACTAACACCGAACCTGGAGGCTGTGGTTCGGGCGAAGATCGTGAGCTGATGGACACGGGATCACCTTCGCCATTTCTGACAGTGAGTGGGCCAGTCCAACCCAAGTGGTTCCTAAGAAGGGTGGGATGACGGTGGTAGCCAATGAGAAGAACGAGCTCATACCTATGCGCATAGTGACCGGATACCACGTCTGCATCGACTGTCATCGCCTCAACGACACCACCCGGAAAGATCATTTCCCGCTGCCTTTCATTGATTAGATACTGGAGAGGCTGGCAGGGCATGAGTTCTACTATTTCCTGGATGGGATGTCCGGGTATTTTCAGATCCCCATTGCACCGGAAGACAAGGCGAAGACCACCTTCACCTGTCCTTTCGGCACATTTCCCTACCGGAAGATCCCATTCGGGCTGTGCAATGCCCCGACCACATTTCAGCGCTGCATGCTGGCCATCTTCGAACGACTGGTCGGAGAAATCATGGAGGTGTTTATGGATGACTTTTCGGTTTATGGGGACTCATTCTCTCATTGTCTCCACAACCTGGAACTCATCCTAAAATGGTGTGAGGAGATGAACCTGGCACTGAGTTGGGAGAAGTACCACTTTATGGTTCGTGAAGGCATAGTTCTGGGGCAAAAGATCTCAAAGATGGGGATAGAGGTAGACCGAGCCAAGATCGAGACAATCAGCAAGATGCCTCCTCTCACATCTGTTAAGGGGATACGCAGTTTCTTGGGCCATGCAGGGTTCTATAGGCGATTCATAAAAGACTTTTCCAAGATCTCCTTGCCCCTGACGAAGCTCCTTGAGAAGGATGCCCCCTTTCAGTTCACTAACGCGTGCACAACGACATTCACGACCCTGAAGGAGAAGCTCACTCATGCTCCTATCATGGTCACTCCTTACTGGTCTTTAACGTTCGAGCTGATGTGTGACGCCAATGACTTTGTTGTTGGAGCTGTTTTGGGGCAGAGGCGAGATCAGCACTTCCGTCCTATCTACTACGCCTCGAAAACCCTTAACGATGCCCAAGAACTACACCACCACGGAGAAGGAGCTGCTAGCGCTGGTGTTTTCATTTGATAAGTTTTGTCCTTATCTGGTCTTGTCCCATGTGACAGTGTACACGGATCACTGCGCAATTCGATACCTGATCAGCAAGGCCGATGCCAAGCCTCGGCTCATACGATGGATCTTATTACTGCAGGAGTTTGACATCGAGATCCGGGACAAGAAGGGGGCCGAAAATGTTGCTGCTGATCATCTCTCCTGGTTGGACGCACCTCCTGCGGACAACCTCGAGGAGGAGATAAACGAATCCTTCCCAGATGAAAGACCGATGATGATGTGCTTGGTAGAGAGTGTCACCCTTTGGTACTCCGATTTTGCAAACTATCTAGTGGACCAGCAGTTGCCCAAGGCGATGACGACTCACGCCAAGAGGAAGTTCTTCTCCGACCTGAAGCACTACTTCTGGGATGACCCTCATCTCTTCAGGATCGGAGTCGACGGGGTCATCCGTTGTTGTGTCATGGAAAATGAGATGGAGGGCATTCTGTCTCATTGCCATGAGGGACCTACTGGCGGGAACCACGGTGGTAACCGCACGGCGCGGAAGGTGCTACAGTCGGGCTTCTACTGGCCCTCGCTCTTCAAGGACGTCGACACCTTCGCACGCAGGTGCGATCGATGCCAGAGGTCAGGTAACATCTGTGCCCGTGATGAGATGCCCCAGAATGTGTTTATAACTTGCGAGATTTTTTTATTTCTGGGGTATCGACTTCATAGGCCCCTTCCCTCCATCATTTGAAAATACATACATCCTAGTTGTTGTTGATTACGTCTCTAGGTGGGCTGAGGCACAAGATCTGCCCACCAATGATGCTAGACGTGTTTGTCAGTTTCTGAAGCAGCCATTCTCCCGGTTCGGGATACCTAGGGCCATCATTAGCAACAGAGGGACCCATTTCCAGGGCCAGTTCGATAAATTGCTATCCCGCTATGGTGTCACCCACAAGGTGTCCGTGGCCTACCACCCCCAGATGAGTGGTCAGGTCGAGCTGACAAACCGGGAGCTTAAGCGCATACTAAAGAAAACGGTGGATCAATCCCGCAAGGACTGGTCCACATGCTCGATGATGCTCTCTGGGCATATCGGACTGCCTACAAGACGCCAATTGGTACTTCACCGTATCGGCTTGTCTATGGAAAGGCATGTCACTTGCCCGTGGAGCTAGAGCACAAGGCCTACTGGGCCCTTAAGCTGCTCAATTTGGATGTTAGTCTTGCAGGTGCTGAACTCAAATTGCAGAAGCTGGAGCTGAAGGAATGGCGTTACCACGCCTACGAAAACACCAAGCTGTACAAGGAGCGCACTAACGTCTTCACGACGCCCGCTTGATGGGACCGAAGGAGTTTTAGGTTGGCGATCGAGTTCTGCTCTTTAACTCTCGCCTGAAGCTCTTTCTCGGAAAACTCCGCTCCCGGTGGTCTGGACCGTTCACGGTCGCACAGGTGTTCCCGTATGGCACGATTGAGATTGTCAACCCGCAAACTGAGCCATTTTAAGTGAATGGCCATCGTCTCATGCTCAACCTAGGAGACGAGGTCGAACGTGCGGAGTTGGCAATTGAACAAGCGGACCCTTAGTTCCGCCATGGGCGTCCAGCTAAAAAACGGTAAAGAAGCGCTTGTGGGGAGGCAACCCCACCACGATTTGCATTTCTGTCCTTTGTTCCCTTTGTTTTGTGTTGTGTTCGAGTTAGTTGCATTTCCGACCATGGCCTCGATTTTTCCTATAAAAGCAAATCCCCGGCCGACCCTTTCTCTCTCCTCTCATTTTTTTCCAAAATTCCCCTCTCCTCCCCCCTTTCTTCCTCCTCTGATCTCTCTCGTCGAAGACAGCGCCGCCTGTGCCATTTTCCGGTGAAGCCTCTGGTGCCGTTTTGGCCGTGGTTTTGCGTCCCTACCCTCTACTCGCGTCCATCTACGGTCCTACTTGTGTTTCCAGGTGTGTTCTTTGCTCAATTTGTTTCTCTAGACGTTAGGCCCGAGAACGGTGATTGGTTTGGCATGTTTGAACTAGAATAGGGTGAGGGATGTAGTGGATTTGAGTTTCTCATGCATGATGGATGCCTAATTGTTGAAATGCCTTGCTTTTACCATGATTCTTGCGTGATTTGCGGTTGGTTTGCTTGCAAATCAACTACTTTGTGCTTGCGTTCTCACCCTAGGTGGTCCTTAAGTGTGGGGGAGCGGTCCCCATGCTTGCGGTTCTAACGCGAATTTTCTTGGCCCCACCTTTGGTTTGGTGATTTTGCAGGATCAAGTCTATAGACCATCCATTCATGCAGGGGCTGCGCCTTTACCCCGAGTATGCAGACCAGTATCGCCGGGTTCTTAATGGGGTGTTCCACCGACATCACCACCTGGTGTGGGGCATCTTCCAGTAGCTCCACTGCATGGATGAGATCGCCGCCGCCATCAGCCACCCACATTTGCGTGCGCTCCTGAGCATAGACGACTCCACCTACACAGTGCTGGTGTGGGAGTTCTACTTCAACTTCCAGTACCGCCCTAAGGAGGCCAGAGACTCCCCTACTGGGGTGACTTTTTGGCTCGACGGCCACATGCGGGAGCTGAGCATCGACGGGTTGGCCCATGCACTGGGAATCCACCACCACGAGAAGGAGGTCGCTCACCCTAAGGACCGACGACATGATGTGTTCTGCCAGAGCATCGCTCGTCCCGACTACTAGTTCAACACCTTCAACGCCGGCCAGACCTATATCTCCACCCTTCGGCCGGAGTGGCACATCCTCAACCTTCTGCTCACCTGCTCGATCACACCCAACGCCACCGGATCTCACAAGATACCGAAGCGAGTGCTGACCACTTGCTGCACCTGGGGTCTGTTGTGGCCACCACCTTTGCTTGGTGCCACAACAAACCCACCCACTACTTTTGTGGTCCCCTGATCACGAAGTTGGCGCACCACTTCGAGATCTCCTTGGAGGGGTTGACTGACGCCACAACTCTAGGTGGCTCCTCGCCTCTCAGCCGGGAGGTGCTTCATAACGCCCTGCTGCTGGCCTCCGATGGCAAGCGATCGTGGGTAGATGGTCTCTCCATGCCTCCGGACGAGGATGACGAGGGTGACGAGGAGGACGAGGACTACACCGGCGAGGATGAGGCCGGTGATGACGATGATGATGATGGTGGGGCCTGAGACGCAGAGATGCCAGAGCCCCCTCTCTCCCCTCCAGGGGATCTTCAGCCACGACATAGACCCGAGCGAGGCAAGTCCTCCAAAACACCAACAAACAAAGCGAATCGACGAGAACCACATTTGACTCGGTCTTACTTTTGAATATAAGGGAGAAAAACTAGTTTTCATTTGGTAGAGGTTTAGTCAGGGAAAACGTCAATTATAACTAGAGGGATTAGTTAATATTTATAGAAAAGAGAAAAACTATATATTCTTCTAGTTAAGAGAAACCAAAACAAGACCAGTACATTACGTTACATTAACTAACCCTTCAGCCAAAGCACAAATCAATCAACAAAAAACCAGCAAAGAAAGGTGCGTAGATTACCTCTACGGATTTTCGGTTCCAAATACGTGAGGAAGCAACAAGGCTGAACTAAATTGGAATGGCAGGGGGAGGAATCCATCCCAGTTCTACCGAATTGTGGAAGGCGCACACGATTTCGCAATCGAGGAACTTGGTGGTGTTGAGATCCAGACGAACAATGTCTTCGATCAAAGACTGAGATAGAGAAAACCCAAAATTTGATTGCCAACAGAGGGGATAAGAGGAAAAAATTTTAGTTTATGTGAAAGAGATAGTTTAATTTAACATGAGGAGTTAAATTCTGCGTTCCCTTTGCTGCAATGGAATTGCAGGTGCAGAAGCAGCCTAATTCGGCTCGGACTCTAAAAGGGAAATAGAATAGAAGACTTACTTACGATTTGGTTATTTCATGCATCACAAAGCAAAACGATGCGTTTGATACCTTATCCCTTGCACCAATTCTGACTGCTACCCTGTTTCCGGCGAAGCCTCGCAGGGGAATTACTCGACTGCCGGAGATCTTTAATTGCCTCTCCGTTTCCAGCTGCTGGGCACGAACTGTCGATAGTGTTATTTGGACTTAGCATTTCTTTTACCGGGCTATGATGGATTAAAAGTGTACCATAGCTTAGATGGGCGAAATTGAAGTGGCAAAATTGAAGTGAGTATGGGCTCTCCAAACGAGCGGGTCGGCCCAATAAAAGCCACACGGGCTTAATGAAGACACAGCTCTAGGCATGTTACGTTAGCAAACCCATAAACTTTTTTTTTTTTTTTTGCTGATATGTATGATTTATAGATCAAAAGACATTTTCCTTCCATCTTTAACCCCTTTACATATATGTTCTTCTATACAAAAGTAACGAAACCAGGTTATCTTTGAAACAAAAAAAAATCAAAACCAGGTTTCCACCCAAGTTTTGATTTCTGCTTGTATTGGCATCTTGGTTTGGCGAACACAAGTCGGGAGCATGGCCGCTGGGAGGGGAATCGATGATTCAAATGGGATCGATTCAGAATCAGACTCCATCGAGGCATGGATGGTTCGTGGTTGGATCTTCTTCTCGGAGTCGCCAAGTCGGGGTTGGACTGAGATTGAGCAACGACGGGGCAAGAAATATTCGGCGTGTATGGATGTAGAGGGGGTTGGTCGGCTTGTTACGTCCAGGAGACCGGGTGGAGACTTATCCTTGGTAAAGAAATCGTGCAAGAGGAGGGAAGTGGCGGAGCCGGGCTATGGGTTCACCGTCTAGGATGGAGTAAAGGCAAATCAAGCTTCAACGGAGACTATTAATGAGGGGCCTAATTTCAATTATCATTAAGTATAAATTATTTTAATAAATATAATATAGTTTAATAGATAATAATTAATTATAAATAAATTAAGTTACTGTAACCATTAGATACATCTAACGGTTAATATTAAACAAAAAGTGGGTGCGTTCAGTGCACCCAAAATAGTGGGTGCACCGAAGTAGCCACCATAAATATAGCGAGTTCTATGGTACCTAGGGTGAAATCCGGGGTACCGCGTACCTTGAGTATGAAAACGCTATCCAGACCTTGAATTGATTGATCTTTCAGACATGATAGTGTACTCTAACCCTTAAAGATCAAAATCTAGGTCTAAATTCTCTCTAATACTCCAATATCTATTTAATTAGAAACAATAATCGACGGTTATGATTCGTCCAAAGAGAAGCAAAAAATGAATGCACCATCTTAAAGTTTATAGTTTATGATTTAGATAATTAGAATTTAGGGTTCACTCATTACGGGTTAGTAAATGGCTAGTATGCTCATCGCTCTCTTCTTTCTTGCATCATAAACATTGATTGTGTCAGAGTCAGTGCAAAATCGAAAACTGAAGAATAGACAACAACAAAAAAAACTCATTAATCATTATGTTAATGGTCACATGAACTAAACAAAACATTCTTTACTAACCACTTGTGTGGAGCCATTTCCGTTCCTTAACTTATCTTAAGCAAGTTGAGCATTGGAATTCATTAATTAATCCATTCCCCCCCTCCCAAGTTAATTTATTTGTGTGTAGTTATAAAGTAATCTATCCATTTACCCACATGAATGGTGGGTGCTTAACTGCTTATATTAGTTGGTGTTATTTGGCATCTAGGATATGGCTTGTTATCCCGACAAATGATTCAGGTTGATTCTCTGAAACATGGTACAATAATTTAATTATATTCCTTTTGCTCAATTTGTCTGTTTATTATCATGTTCAAACCTTCTAGTGGGCAATTATCAATTAGGGTGTTTGTTTATTATAATAATAATTAGGAATCCCCTTAACAATAATAACGGTTGAACCAATTGGGGAGAATATAGTAATAAATTGCTTGCTCATTAAGCAATCACTGTTGATAATATTGCTGGCTACTAAAAACCATAAGAAATAATATTTTCAAAAGAATGAAACTGTGAGTTATTTGGGTGAAATGGAATAATAAGTCTTATCACTATTTTTTTACGCACTCTCTCAAACAGAAATAGAATAATGAGTTTGACGTTTGCAAAAACCTCTCATATTATTTGCTTTGATCAACTGTAAATATTGTGGATTATTGAAATTTGAATGCATGACATTTTGATTATTATAGGCTCTAATATCATACCAAAATCTAATTGGTTTCAATAATAAATTATTGAGCGACGAGAAATGAAATTTTTTATAACATCTACTCACCGAAAGAGTACTAATTATGTGAGTACTAATTAGGCTCTAATATCATACCAAAATTTAATTAGTCTCAATAATAAATTATTGAGCGACGAGAAATGAAATTTTTTATAACATCTACTCACCCAAAGAGTACTTATGTGAGTAACATTTGAAGATTGAACTCGCTCGGATATGCACCCACATTGAACACTAGCTAAGCTCAAACTCTAGATGTGTAAATCGCCAACTTAAGCAGAACAAACCTCCCAACGAGGCTGTCAATGACACTGTAGCCAATCAATCTGACGAGTACTGAAGAAGCCAACATCAATTAATTCTTGGATTATTCCCTAGCAAGTAGCAATTGAGGAAATGGCCAAATTATATACAGAAAGAAAACTGAGAAGTTGAAAACAAAACATTATAATAACAGCAGGTAAAGGCAGTGAAAAAAGGTGTCCATGCATGCAAAATTACAGCTAGTAAAGGCAGTTACTGCAACAACAGCAATAGCATGCATTTATTGGCAGTGGAAATTTGCAGAGAGAAGCCAAAGCAAGCCCTCCTGCAACCAGCTGGTGGCCCTTTAATTGGTTTGTTCTTACCTTCTACTTCAGCTCGCCTTTTTTTTTTTTTGTTTTTTTTTTTTATATGACAGTACTAGATCGACCTTGAATTGAATACAATCCAACTAACTGCTGAACTGTAATAATTAAAAGTTTCTCGTTAGAGATTGAACAGCGCAGAAGAAGAAGACCCTCTCTTTCTATTTTCTTTTCTCGCCAATGAAAACGAAAGCGAAAGAAGAAAGTCGGCAAACATTATTTTAACTTTCCGTCTCCCCATGCCCGTCCCCGTACGATGATGAATCTGTTTGTTTGTTTAGTTTGTGGGATGTCATTTGGCATCGGTCGGGTATAAGGCTTCCTGGATTTGGTGAGCGGATTGTTCTCGTCCTTTCCTACAGCTTCAATTCAAATCAATAAAGAAATATGAGGAGAATGAACATTTTTTTCAAACCTATCTGAAAACTATTTTAGCAATTCGACTATGGTGCTAGAAGCCTGGTCTACCGAGTTCCTGTGCAGTTTGCGGTGACATCTTATTGATAATCACGAGTTTCTCAACACTTCACGAGGTTGGAATCGCGTACCTACGTGTACATCTAACAGATGGCGCACATAAAGGAAATGAGGGTCTTTTATCACCTGATCGAATTGCGACTTTAGCTATCTTTTGAATTGATTCTTGCTCAGATTTCGACATGAAAATTTTTAAGCACAATCCATATTTCGGCTTGAACACTTACTAACTAGTCCAAAACAATCAATGTCTTACGACCTCAAAATCCCAAACAACAACATCTTCACATAACACAATCCATTTGGGAATCTATAGCCCTTTTCTTCCCTCTGTCGTTTTGCTCCTCCCTCCAAGTCTTATCTCATCTCCCGTCGGCTAGCTAGCTAGCTAGCTTAGCTCCTTCCCCCATCTCCATTAAACGTCAACGTTTCATATACCCCACACGCTGTTCCCAAGGCAAACAAACATCATAGTAGTTGAGCTTCAAAGTGGACGGCACAATGCTGGTCCATCACCGTGGGGACTCCAGTCAGAGAGAGATATAATAATAATATAATATAGAAAAGAGGAAACAAAAATGATAACGAAAACCAACTATACCCAAAGAAAGGCCAGTGAGAAAAGGGGAAAGCTTTTTTCAACAGTCAATTTAGTGATGTGGAGAAACCTGGATCATCCATGGCTTCTCTTGGGTTGTTGATTTTACGCCCTTTCCAATTTATGGCGAATTATGGAAGCATGGCCCTACTAAAACATCTCCACCTCTCTGTCTCTTCCCTCAATACAAATCATGCTACTGATGAACGATTATCATCTTGCTAGTTAAAAGAAACAGCAAGGAGCTCCACATCGCGCCCATACCGGCTTCAGTTAAGTGAAAAAGGTGAAACATTTCTCTCCTCTTCCTCCCCCTTAGCATCCCTTTGAAAATAACAGCAGCAAGATAAGAAAAATCTATCACTGTAGCAGAGGGCCCTGCGAGTGATAGAGGGAGTGGGTTAAAGGGTCCTGCTTTTGTTGGCATTTAAGGGCTCTTCTTTTCTTTCTTGATGGATGGTGGGGAAGCAGTTCAGTAGCTACTGATATTGAAGAAATCATGGAGCTTTTTTCTCTTTATTGGTGGATGGAATCTGCAAATCTCTTGAATGGGTTCCTGCTAATTTGAAGCTGTGGTGGTGTTGTGGGTTTAGTTCAATAATTTCAGTGTAGTTGATATCTTTTGACCCTCTTGAGCTTGGATTTCAGCAGCTTCAGCTTCAATTCAGTTTAGAGGGAAATTGTAGATCTGGGATGAAGAAAAGTTGCAAACTTTTGAGGTTAGATCCCTTGTTATGGGCTTCACGTTTCATTCATCTGTTGAAATACGTCAGATTAGTTAAAAGAGTACCCTGTTTCATTTCTGGTTGCAGGATCTGGTGGTGAGGTCAAAATCCTCTATGACTTGTGTCTCAGTGATGGAGTGGAATCACAAGCCTCAATTGCAATGGGACTGGGAGAATCTCATAATGTACAATCCAAATTCTGCCGAGAATCCGAATCCCAGGAAGCTAGATGGTAACTTAGATTGGGAATTTGACGATGGGGTAAGAGAAGCAGCTGCTGATTCTGGTTCATTCTTCTCATCCGGAGGCTGCTGCAATGGCAACTCTGGTGGTACCATCTCTGAATTGGGCCTCGCTGCTGGTTCTTCTTTCTCTTCAAAGTCAGCTTCCATCACCAATTCTTCATCCACTGGAGAAGCCAAGCCAATCAATACTACAGGCGAGCCTCTGCTTGGTTTGAAGCTTGGGAAACGAACTTATTTCGAAGACTCGAGCTGTGGGAGCAATTGTAAGGCTGGGCCTGCTGCTACTGTTGCTGCTGCTGCTAATTTAGCAAAGAGATCGAAGTCGAATTGTGTGGCTGTGTTCTGCCAGGTGGAAGGGTGCAACCTTGATCTCTCGGCGGCCAAGGATTACCACAAGAAGCACAGAGTCTGCGAAGGGCATTCAAAGTTTCCGAAGGTGGTTGTTGCTGGGGTGGAAAGAAGGTTCTGTCAGCAATGCAGCAGGTAAAAATCACTCCGAGCATTCTCATCATTGTTACCTGTGGAATGATCAGTTAAGTGTATATTTGACTTGTATGTTTGAATGGGGTTTTTCAAAGGTTCCATAGCTTGTCAGAGTTTGATGAGAAGAAGAGGAGCTGCAGAAAGCGGCTCTCTGATCACAATGCTAGGCGTCGCAAGCCACAGGGGGAGTCGCTTCGTTTCAATCCCTCGAGGATGCATTCGTCCATCTTTGGTACTGATGGTGTACTTTCATTGCCTAGGAATGAATTCAATTCCTGTTATGAACTGGACGCCGTTTTTCGTTTTGCAGACGAGAGGCAAAGAATGAGCTTTGGATGGGAAAGTAGCAGGAGTCCCCTGGTCCAAGGAAGGGCAGGTGGGTATTTGTTCTGGGAAGACACCTCTGGTTCCAAGTTCACAATAACAAAGGACTACTCCTTTAAGCCGTCAACAAGTCAGCCAGCAGTCTCCTCAATGGCTGTTGCTCATCATCGCGGCTTGTTGCCTGCAAAGGCAAAAGGGATAGCAACAGATAATCCAAGTCAAGGTGCGGTTCTTAGACTTCAATCCACCAAAATATTGCTCGGTGCATCTTTTCATAAGTGCTGAAGGGCTGACATTTTCATTGCAGGAATGGAGGCGGAAGAATCCACCATGTCGCTAAACGCGAATGATGATGCTACACAGGATCTCCACCGTGCTCTCTCTCTTCTGTCAACCAACTCGTCGTGGGGCTCTTGCGAGCAGCAGCGATCAACGACGATAGCTTCACTTGAAGCAGCTCACGCAAGCCCTGCAGCAAGTGTGCCTCAGTCCTTCTTCCAGTTGCCTCACATCGAACTGCAGTCAGCCGAGGCTCGGCTGCACTCTTCCCAGTCCGCTTATGTCGGTGATTACTCGCAGCAGTCTCAACCACATCAGCTATTGAGAGATCCTTACGCGGCTGAGCTCAGTCCTGGTCAGTTGTGACCATCCGCCGCCATGCCTGAAATCGTATCGCAGTCCATTTTCCGGCAAAGTGCCTTTGGAAACTGATGGTACACAATTTTCTGCTTCTGCCAATGTGCAATGCAAGTCTGATACGGCTTCTGGGACACAGCCTAGTTTTACAGCCCGGCCAAACTGGAAAGGCCCGAGATTTGCTGGTTAATTAAGCCGAAGTATTGAGAAGATTTTGCACCTTTTGGTGCTTTCTCTGGCGTGTAATGAACCTTTTAGTGCTTTCTGTTGTCTCACGTCATTTGCTCAGTTCCAAAATTTCAAGACTCCTTCCGCTCAACAGACACGAACTGTAATAAAGGTTGAGAACATTTAGCCGCCTCAGATTTAGCCTTCAACTGGTCCATCCTTATACGGTGTGGCTGGATATCACCTGGCTCGGAGGCTGGGCAAGGTTGCTCAGATAGCTTAAATAATTTTTTTTTTTTTAACTCCAATACGTTTACATTTAAATGATAACCACAATTTCTCAAATAATTTCAACCCATTAATCATGTAATCCTCCGTAGGCAAGTGAATGTAAAATTTGAATTTGCCCTCGGATACGAATACGATGGGGTTCTCAGTGGCATTCTATACTATGATGCATCTCCTACACTGCAGCAACAAGACAATGCCAACAATTGCATCCAACATTAGATGTGTCTTTGCGTAGCAAGAACAGGATAGCTTCAAACCTTTTGGTTCACACACGGTTAGGCCAACCACACTATTAGGCCCAATATGAATAATTAACTAATAATATTGGAATAATTCATTCATTGCGTAAGAAACAAACTATTAATATAATTGTTATTTTAATAAATAATAACAGATTCGTTCTCATATTTCGAGAGAACCACAAAATACATTCAATGTCTACACTCTTATGTAAATCTCACTTGTTGGAAAAACCGCCACCGGACATGACTACTTCTTCGATTGCTCGAAACAATCGAATAGGGCTTAAGGTGGAAATAGTTCGGTTAAGTGATTTATTTCAATTGAAAATTTTGTTTACGGTGTTAATGAATTAGTTTTGTTTCAATCTAATAAGATGTATTGCACTAGTAGAACCAACCCCCACCCCCACCCCAAACTTATATGTATGTTGTAACCCTGCCTTACTGACTAAATGGCTTGCTTGCCTAAAGATTGCTAATTGTGAAGAAACGAAAAAAAAAGGGTATGACCAGACTTATCAAGCAACATACCGCCATACCCGAGCCATCATCTAGAGAAGATATCAATTGCATAAGATCGCTAGAAAATAAAAATGCATCCAACCCTATGACCCAGTGATAAAAGAGGAACTAAAACATTGTAAAGCAAAAAAAAAAAATTCAAAATTAGACATTCTTACCTCTTTGGGTCATTAAGGAAACGTTTGGAAGCTGTGGTTCTACAAATGTGTGATTCTTGGAAACATTTCATCGTCGAGAAGATGACGCGATAACAAAGGATTGGAACATATTGAAACCCTAAACTTGGTTCATTCTCATTCATCTCATGCCTTATATAGGCAGCACAAACACAAGCAGACAACAAAGCTTTTACATGGTTTGTCCCTTAGCTTGGAACGGAAACAAGCTCTGTCTTGAGGAAAAAGAAAGTGGAAAAACAATACAGAGTGAAACGACAGCGTCGTGGGAAAAGAAAACGAGTGAGCCAAAACGATGTCAGATTCTCCTTCTTCTTCAAGAATTGGGGACGACCGTTGGAATTGAAGTTTTTAGGGATTTAACTCCTGTTACCCCCGCCCCCCCCCCCCCCCCCCCCGGGCCACAAGCTGGCGGGCAGAGATCGTGCACGCCGAGCTTGGAGAGGAGTTGAAGAAAATGGCGATGGAGAGAGCGGTTTGGTGAAAAGGTCAGCTAGCTGATGTGTTGAGGAGACATGTAAGAGTTTGAGCACTGAAGTTTTTCGCGGACGAGATGACAGTCCAGCTTGATATGTTTTGTGCGTTCATGGAAGGTAGGGTTCTCGGCCACATAAATCGCACTTTGATTATCACAGTAGATGTTGGCTGGTTGAGAATGTGTAACCTTAAAGTCTTGCAGGAGATACAGGAGTCATTGCACTTCGCAGGCAGTGAAAGCGAGAGCGCGATATTCAGCTTCACAGGAGGAGCGAGAAACTGTTTGTTTCTTCTTGCTCTTCCAGGAGATGAGGGAGTTACCCTGATAAACACAGAAACCAGTGATGGAGCGGATGGTGTCAACACAGGCAGCCCAGTCCGAGTCTTAGAAAGCTTTGAGCTGAAAATCACCTTGAACCGGGAAGAAAATACTAGTGGTAGGAGCTGGTTTCAGGTACTTGATGATTCGTAGAACTACTTTGTAGTGGTCTTGGCTAGGAGAACCCATGAATTGACTAGCCTGTTGCGTTGCAAAACTTATGTCTGGCCTTGTAGTAGTCAAATAGATGAGTTTACCCACTAGTGTTCTGTAGTGTGCTGGATCCTCATAGAGTGTATCACAAGTAGAGGTTAGATGTGCCTTGTAATCCATGGGAGTTGAAACGGGCTTTGAATCAATCAGCTTTGCTTCTTCAATGATTTCCAGAGCATATTTTCTTTGTGATAAATGAATGCCCTGTTTGTTTCTTGCAACTTCCATACCAAGAAAGAACCTCAAAGTTCCTAGATCCTTTATACTGAATTCTGAATGTAGAATGGCCTTGAGATCCACCAACAACCAAGTCATCAACATATATCAGAACACGTGTAGGAAGAGTATGTTGCCTTGTAGAAGAGAGAGTGATCTGCTTGACTTTGACAATAGCCAATGGACTTGAGTTTGTCGTTGAGCTTAGAAAACCATTTCCTAGAAGCTTGCATGAGCCTATAGAGTGACTTCTTGAGGAGGCTCACTGGGTTAATGAAACCAAGAGGTGGTTCATAGCCTTTAGGTAGGGTCATATACACTTCCTCCTGTAGATCTCCATGGAGGAAGGCATTATTCACATCTAGTTTGTAAATATGCCAGTTCCTCATGGCAGCAACAACCAAAAAAGTTCTGATAGTTGTCATCTTAATTACTGGGGAAAAAGTGTCCTGATAATCGACTCCCTCCTGCTGAGTATGGCCTTTGGCCACAACTCTGGCTTTGAAACGTTCAAGAGAGCCATCTTGGTGAACCTTGACCTTGTATACCCATTTATTGCCAATGGTTTTCTTACCAGGTGGCAATTCCACCACATTGCATGTTTGGTTTTGAGAAGTGCTGCAATTTCACACTTCATGACAGCATTTCAGTACTCTAATAGAGAAGCCTCTTTATATGAATTTGGTTCATGATAGGAAGGATAGCAAGAACAAACTTTTTGTGGAAAGGGGTGAGTTTGTCATAAGAGAGAAGGGAGGAGATAGGGTACCTTTTGCCAGATGACTGGGGCTGAAGTGGTTGACTGGAACTGCTTGATTGCTGGGACATGTAACAGTGATAGTTCTGTGTGAGATGTGTGGGAGGTTTAATTGTTCTATCTGAGCGACGGAGAGGTGGTGGATTGATAGGCTGAGGTGGTGGTGGTGGTGAGGGAGATGGAGGAGGAGTAGTGGAGGGAACAGAACTAGAGGATGATGTGGATGGGGATAGGGGAGGGGATGCTGAGGGTATTAGAGGAGAGGGAGGGTGCGAGGATGGAGGTGGAAGAGGCACAGGTAGATGGTCAAGATCATCAAGAATGGTGGAGGTAGTCAGGGGCGGACCCAGGGAGGTTTGGGGTGTCCCCGGACACCCCTAAATTTTGAAAAAACGATTATCCAACTTCCGGTGTTAATTTATGTATTGAAAAAAAAAAATTATAATTAATAGTCCGGGACAATCTAAAATTTGAAAAAAAATCATTATACTACTCTCATTTGTAGTTTGCGCATGGGAATATAAGTGGTAGTTTGGGTAATTCAAACCCGGGACACTACTATTATTAATAAATATAATTTTCATTAGGCTACAAAATTTTTTGTGGTTCTATTCTAAACACTGTGTAATAGCAAAATTGTAGGAAACATAAATATTGGGGTGGTTAGGGGGTTAGGCAGCCGATAGTGCCAAGTAGAGTAGTAGGGTATCATTAGGTTTTTGGGCTTATTTCCCTATAAATATGTATTTGAGTCATTGCTTTGGATTTGGTCAGAAATCAGTAATCAAACCCTATTCAGTTTATCCCTCTTCTTCTCCTAATCCCTAATTCCCAATTTTATTCTTCCTATCTCAATTTCCCAATTATTCTTCTCAAAATCCCTAATTATTTCTCTCAATTCCTAAATCTCTTTCTAATCTATCTGGCTACATTTATCACAAGTTACCGCAGAATCATAGTTCCTTCAAAAACCCTAGTCTCTATCTTTAATTATTTTCAAAACCTAACAATTAATCTAATTACAAGCTACCATTAATTTATGGGTGTATGACAAGTGTTGAAAGTGTATTTTCATCTTTGAGTTACACCAAGAACAAATTTAGAAGTCGAATATGCATTTGTTCGTGAATGATTGTCTAGTAGGATATACCGAGACAACTTTGTTGAACAGTGTAGACACCAAGTGTATTTTACAATTTTTTCAGAATATGAAAATACTTATGACCTTTTTTTTAACTTGTACGAGTTGACTATTTTCTTATTTAAGAATTATTTAATATTTAAGAATTATTATTTTTATTATTATTTATTTTTTGAAAGAGGACACCCCTATATAAAATTCCTGGGTCCGCCACTGGAGGTAGTGTCTGGTAAAGGGAAAAGGTTATCTGGTGGGGATGGTCGAGGGTTAGATGAAGGGGATTGTTGAAATGGGAAATGGGATTCATAGAATATGACATCACGAGAGACAAAAGTGTCATGAGAGATGAGATCATAGACTTTATAGCCTTTGATGCCTGGAACATAGCCTAGGAATACACCTTTCCTTGCTCTGGATTGAAATTTGGTTCTGTGATTGGAAAGTGCTGAAGCAAAACAAAGACAACCAAAAACTTTTAAATCATTGAGATATGGAGGTGAGTGATAGAAGAGTTCATATGGAGTTTTGTTGTTAAGAACAGAAGAGGGAACACGGTTAATGAGGTGGACTGCATGTTTAATGCAATCTGCCCAGAAATCAGGAGGGAAATAGGCTTGAAACTGAAGTGCTAGAGCAACAGCAAGAATATGCTGATGCTTTCTTTCGACCTTGCTATTTTGTTGAGGTTTCTCAACACATGACATCTCGTGAATGATGACATTGGAATCAAAGAAATCAGTCATGAGAAATTCTTTTCCTTGGTCACTACGAATGCGTTTGATTGAAAGGTTGAACTGCTTTTGCATTTGAGTGCAGAAAGCAATCATCATAGGTCGAACTTCTGATTTTAGTTGAAGCAAAATAACTCAAGTCATGCATGAATAATCGTCTACAATGGTAAGAAAATACTTAAAACCATCGTAGTTGGGAGTAGAATTAGGACTCCAAATATCAACATGCAGAAGTTCAAGAGAATGTTGAGTTACATGTTGACTAGAAGGAAAAGGAAGCCTCCTTTGCTTAGCAAAGTGGCAAACATCACAAGGAGAACCTTTCTGAGTTTCAATGGAGGGACAAAATGAGCTAAAATAGGGAACTTTAGAATGAGACAGGTGTCCTAATCTAAAATGCCACAGATCAAAGTTGGCTGAGGTCACGCTGTGATGTATTTAGTAAAAGGAAAAACGTCCAGGTAGTAAAGTCCATTGTGCAACCTAGCAGAGCCATTTACCCTCTTATGCTCCAGGTCTTGTATGACACAAAGGTTGGAATGAAAGGTCAAAAGAAGTGAGTTGGTGGTGGTTAGTTTGCTAACAGAAACTAGGTTGAAAGTGAAGGTTGGGACAAACAAAACATCTTGAAGGATCAAATCAGTGTGGCACAAGGCTGTGCCAGAGTGAGTAGCTTGTATTTGTTCTCCTGTTGGAAGTTGAATGTAGACATTGGATAATTTTTGGCAATTCACCAAGAGATCTAGGGAGCAGACAATGTTGTCTGAAACTCTAGTGTCTAAAATCCAAGTAGTCATGTCCGTGGGAGTGAGATGACCAGGAGGGATAGTGAGAAGGCATGTACCTGGATTGCCTTTGGTAGAAACATAAGCAGCAACATAATAGGAAGGTTGCTGTTTGTGAGAAGCCATGAGAGCCATTAATTTTTCATAGTCAGACTTTGTGAGTTTAAACTCATCATCAGTGGTTGAGCTAGATGCATTGGCATAACCTCGGGATCTACCAGATGCTGAAGGGATGTTCCTGGAGATGTAATTAGGAGGGAAGCTATGTTTATGAAAACATTTCTCTTCTGTATGGCCCTGTTTCTTGCAGAAGGAGCATTCAATGATTTTTCCAGGAATATTTGGAGGTGCTCTGGTAGTAATGCCAGGCGGGTAGCCATGCTTTTGGTAGCATGTTTCTTCAGTATGGCCATCTCGTTTGCAGAAAATGAAAAAGGGTCTTTTACCAGTAGTGTTTGGAGGTCTATCGATGCCCTGAACTGCAGAGCAGTGGCATCAGCTAATGCAAGAGCGATCAACTTACCCTTATGAGTGCCATACAACTGGCGCTCATGCTGTAACATACGCTGAAAAACCCTATTGATGTTAGGGAGTTCATCACCAAAAGAACTTGAGAAGGGACAGCTGAGAATTTATCATTCAAATCACGAAGGAACTTAATCACATAACTAGTTTCTTGATATTCTAAAACTCTTTCCATAGCTCTGCAGGTACTGTGACTAGTAGGTGTGCAATCACAAGGAAGAAGAGGCTGATAGTTCTCAAGTTCATCACGAAGAGTGATTACCTGCCCATAGTACTCTGTGATAAATTGTTCACCTTGTTTCAAATTTGAGAGAGCCTCCTCAAGCTTAGCTACACGCACAATATCACCAGATCCATATCTGGTCTGAAGACTTTTCCAAGCTTCTGCAACAGATTTACTAGACAATATTGTTTTCCTGATTTCTGACTCAACAACTTGCTGAATCCAGCTCAAAATCATCACATTGTTGCGAACCCAGGATCCATGACGTGGATCTGTCTATGCTGGTCCAGGAACAACACCATTGATGAAGCCCAAATTTTTTTTGGCAGCCAAGGCATTCAACATTGCCCTGCTCCAGTAGTTGTAGTTGGTGATGGTGAGCTTCTCACAGACAAGAAGAGACCCTGGCTGCTCAGAGCCATGAAGGAAGTAAAGATCTTCCATGGGATAAACATTTTGTATAGTAGGATCTGTTGTGTTTTGTGTTGAAGCAGCAGGGTTTGGGGTGGCTGGATTGGTAGCCATTGTAGTGACGGCGACTAGGGTTTAGGCTCTGATACCATAACAAAGGATTAGAATAGATTGAAACCCTAAACTTGGTTCATTCTCATTCATCTCATGCCTTATATAGGCAGCTCAAACACAAGCAAACAACAAAGCTTTTACATGGTTTGTCCCTTAGTTTGGAACGGAAACAAGCTCTGTCTTGAGGAAAAAGAAAGTGGAAAAACAATACAGAGTGAAATGACAGCGTCGTTGGAAAAGAAAACGAGTGAGCCAAAACAATGTCAGATTCTCCTTCTTCTTCTTCAAGAATTGGGGACGACCGTTGGAATTGAAGTTTTTAGGGATTGAACTCCTGTTACGCGGAGCTAGGCAGCAAGCACGTTGGTGTACTGAAGCTTCATTTCGGATCCAGAAATCTTGATTTTTGAGCTTTGCCGAAATAGGGTATAATTGACATTATCCAGGCTGGTGCAGCTAGATGGCTCGCCTTGTTTCACACTGGAATCGAAGCTCTAGCGAGGCCAAAACCCCAGCTCTTCCCCTTCGCCATTGATTCGCGCAAGCTCCCATGAGATGCAAGAGGTGACGATGGCGCAGACGATCACCTCCGCCGATTGAGATCCTTTGTCTCCGATGAAGCAACATGGGCAGGAGTTGATGGGCGGGAAGGAATTTTTATTTTGTTTATTTATTTTTTTTATAATAAAAGATAAAAAAGGTCTACTTATAATAGCTTTTATATATACCTGAACCTACATGAAAACTTTGCCTATTTAATTGTTAAAAAAGCTATTTAATTTCACAAATTGGAATTTTCATATTTACTATGTTAATCCTAGTTTCTTCTTCTTCTTTTAGGTGTGAATATCATGATTTTCTATGAGCCTATTACTCTTTAATCAAATACGGCAGATGTAAAAGTTCCCACCAAAATATAGAAGTTCCCAAGCCAACCATGCAATGTAATCGCCTATTTCTATCTCACTAATGTTGGAAAACGAAAAAACAGAAGCCCAAGCCCATCTTTAAATAGCCTATTTCTATCTCACCCCGAACAAGCATAATGTGAAGCAAAAAGACGAAGGTAGCCTTCTGTGAAACTTCAACTTTTCTCATTTAATAACATTAATTTTTATTCTACTTTTTCATTTGATTTGATTTTCTTTTCTTTCTTGTATTGATTTGTGTACTATTAATATTTGATCTTATCTGTACACCAAAAAATATATTTGATCTTATCTCATACAATTTTATTCTTTTATAGCCAAATTAAACTCATTCTTTTCTTACTTCAACTATTCTCGTTTAATAACATTAATTTTTATTTGACTTCTTTCCTTCCTATTATTGATTTGTTTAATTTAAATTTACTCACACTTTAAATTTAAACAATTATTTTAATTAAATATTAATTATATATAAATATCTTTTTTCAATATTAATATATTTATATTTTATAAATGGACCCACCTTAACTAATTTTCTGGTTACGCCCCTAGGGGATAGAGATAACAGTGGAAGAAAGATGAGTTTCAAAAGTGAAGGCAAGCCTCACCTCTTTGTGTAGACTCTAAAACAAAAGGATTCTAAGCTATTTGAGATTTTAGGTTCCCGTTTCAATGAATGCATTCTCGACAATTTTAGGTAAGGGTGTAAGCATGACCTTAGATACCTACTAGCCCGCCCCGTACTGACCCTTAGGGTCGGGGTGTGTCAGTTTATCTACAGGGTCAGTCTAGGGTTGGGTTAGGGTCGGACAGGGTTAGGGTCAGTTTAGGTTTGGGTCACTTTTTGACCCTACGACCAATGATGTCTTGAAATTCCTCTTACCAACATATTGGACTTCTTCGTGAACTTTTAAAAGTTTAGGTACTATAATGTAAGAGAAAAAATATAATGGTACCGAAATGTAATTTCCACTAAAATTTTCGGACCTATTTGTACAAAAAAAATTATGCAATAAATTGTAAGAAAAAATAATTATGGATACCAAAGTGTAATTTTCCAAAAACAATTGTGATTTCACAAGGTCGACCCTCTGACATCCCTACTCGGCCCGACCCCGACCCCGACCCTAACGGGTCAGATAAGATCACGAAAAAACAAGGAATGGGTCAGGTCAATTTTTTAAGTTGACCCTGCCGCCTATAGGGTGGGTGAGGATAATTTATGAAAATCCCCTTGATATATTGCTCGTAAGTTTGCGATTGGATTATGAAAAATCCCCACTAAAATAGGTTGGGAGCAGCGATTGGCGTTGTAACTCCAGTTCATGGATAAGGTCAAACTTCAAAGTAATGTTAGTTTGGAAGATGCACTCAAATCTCTTGACTTTTTCTTCTCTTGGGGTTATATTCGAACTCCCTTCCTTTTGATACAAATTTAAATTTTTTTTTTTTTACAAATGATAATCATATATGGATTCAAATAATAGCCAGTTACACCCTTGAAGACAGCCAGGTCTGAAAATCAAATGAACGACTCATGGCCGGGTACAAAGAAAGGGCTTTTCTAGCCACCAAATGGGCTACCCTATTACTACGCCGACCTACAAACCGAATGCTAAACCCAGGCTGGACATGGAGACAATTAGCAATTTCTTCAAGAACACCACTCATCCTGTTATCTCCATGATCCCCCGATTGAGCTTGTCAATAATGACTTTGGCGTCGCCTTCAAAACGAACATCCGTAAGCCCCAATCCTTGACACCAAAGCACAGCCTCCCGAAGCAACAACAATTCCACAACCATCAGATCATCAATAAACGCAAATTGCACTCCCGTGGCCATACTGATCACCCCGTAGGAAACAGAAGAACCATTCCACCCGCCGAATGGGACCCCCTCCTAGTGGCCCCATCCCACCTACAGACCATACGAGGATCACCCTCCCCCTCCAGCTGACCAGAACTAGGGGGAGGAGCCTGTGAGATGGAGCGGGCAGGCAACCGAACCCATTCCTCATATTGCTGGATAAACTGACGCATCAACACTGGGATCCCAAATTGTTTCCCTTCAAATACCACCTAGTTACGAGGGCGCCAGATTCGCCAGAGGATGTCAACCACCGCCATGAACAAAGTAGGTTGATTGATTAAGGCCAAAATCTTTTTGAGAAACAAAGGAAACGTCTGACGAGGTAACCCCTCCCCTAGATAGTCCAATCCCGAGTAGTCCCAAAGGGCCCGAGCCATCGGACAGTATATGAACAAATGCTCTAACGATTCTGCACTATCCCAACAAACCGGGCAACGAGGATGAACTGGGACCCTACACTCAATGAGAGCCTCAGTAGTTGAGAGGGCCCGAGAGAGGATCTGCCAGACGAACACCTTAAGCTTAGGGGGAATGTTTGCCTCCCACAGGCGAATCCAACTAGCCTTATCCATCCAGCTGGCCGAGTCTTTCCACCCACCCTTCCGCTTATCCAGCAAGATAGCAAGGTGATAGGCAGATTTGACCATAAACACCCCGTCAGTAGTCTCATGCCAGATCATCCCGTCCTCCACATTCTGACGCTGGAGGGGAATAGCTTTGATGGCCTTACAAGTAGCAGGATCAAACCATTGCCTAAGTTTGTGGTCACACCAACGCCCCTTCCCCTGGCAAATAATCTCGGCTACGACCGGGTCACCCCCACCAGGCAGAACACAAGGATTTTATTGAGGGGGGTACAACTGAAACTGCGGGATCCAGTTGGAGTTTAATAAAGATGCCGACCGACCATTACTGATTTGCCATTGCAGCCCTTTTTCCAATAACTGGCGCCCAAAGAGAATGTTTTGCCACCCCCAAGAAGGACGGGAGCGAGCTGTAGCGGTGAGGAAGGACCCATTGATCAAATATGAGAAAAGAACCAAAGCACCGCTGAAACATGATAGTTTACATGAGCATAGCCTCATTGAAAATCAACAACTATGTTAATCCTCACCTTTTCGACCATCATTTATTTTCTTATGAGAATGATTCGATTAATTCAATTAATTTTTGATGAAATACAACTATGTAAGTTTTGTGACTCATTAGAGACACCTTTTTCGTATATTCATGAATCATTAGTAAAAATAATCATGAACATCAATAGTACTTCGAAGATTTTAGATGCAACAAGCCGGTAAGATATTCTGATGCTTGTGAACAAAAATTTAGGTCTAGTAGTAATAATATCGGTTTTAAACTTCACCGCTTTGGTCTGCCGCGGTGAATGCATTCACTACGATTGACAACAGCGGTGATGCCCAAACATGTGTATTTTGGGAAAAATTTTTATAACGTGTGTATTTTGGAATTTTTTTTATAACGTGTGTATTTTGGAAATTTTATTTTAGAAACCTGTGTATTTTATAATTTTTTCCGAAAAAAATCTGACCTATTTCACATTTTGTGCTTCTTGGAACCTTAGCATAGTCACGACCTTACTTGAACAGGATCTGTTCTATAGGGTCGTACCTCTGTGTCCTTTAGCACTAAGGAGACAGGAATCCAAGTCTGGTGGATGAATTGTGGCCACATTATCAGAGCGTGATTAACGGCTGAGATTGTCTTCGGACTCATTGAGGCTGTAGAGGATCGTTCTTGGTTGTTGAGGTGGCCCAGATGGTCATGTGTGCTTTCTGACGGACTTTAACTTTTAAAAAAAGAGAGTAATTAAGGTCCAAACAAAAAAACATGAAGAGAGGCGCTCTGTCCTCTCTCCTCAACCTCTGTGCTTGGCTTGGGCGATGGCTATGGAAATTAATCCGGCTGCTCTGTGCTACTTATCTCGAGGCCGAAGAGGGGCCTTGGCAGCAATCATGGGGTCGTGATCTTCGTTTTGCGCAATCGACGCTGCTAAGGTCAAAGCGGGTTGCCGGAAAAACCCTAAACCTAAGGGGTTCGAGTCGTGGGACTCACCGAACGACGAATGAAGGGAGCAGTCGCAAAAGGAGAAGGGTAAAGATCTTGGAAGACGATCTTATTGAATCGAAAAAAAGAAGGCTTCAGCCTTTACGGGGGTGGAGATTCTGGTTACCACCTTCGTCAGCCATAGAGGACAAAGATCCTGGGCTGATAAACTGCAATTCCCAGAAGAGGAAGCTCGTTCAATGGGCTAATTGAGTTGGCGATTTACCCTTAGGGGTGCAAGTTCAAACAGATCCGATGACACCTCTTTTGGAGGTCTGGCGGTTGGATCAATTTAGGAATACGATGGAGCTAGAGGTTCCCTTAGGGGAAACGATGTTTTCAAAATTAATGGGGAAAGGATCTGCGGAATTGCGTCCTCTTCCCAGGTCGCCGGCGACCATCGGCGAGCAGCGTGAGGCCGGTTCAGCCAGCGTTGACGTCCCCGGTGAACCGCTGAGAAACACCGAGATTTTCTCAACTTGGCTAAAATCCAATCCGGATTTATTGGGACTGGTATCGGATTTTAGGGGGGGAGGGGGGATTCGGATAAAAAACCGTTTCATAATAACCAACCTGGTGAATCAGAGTTTTACCTCAACTCCAATAGGCAAATCTGATACGAGAGTTACACGACTCTGCCAAACCCCATGGCGGTTGCCCCCCTTTTTAAATAACAATCTCCTGATCACTAATTCCCTACCCCAAAACATCAAAGCGTTAGCGTTGAACGTGCTGGTGACGCATCGGCTGCAAACCCAGTTCGCTAAGCAAGAAGGAGATAGCTCGCCAGGTATAGCGAGCAGTTCCCAATTTTTTGCTCCCCCCCCCCCTCCCTTCTGCGGTTGATTCTGCTTTCGTAGATCTGCCACAAATAGTCTTTATTTCTTCTTCTCCTGCTAATGAGAATATCAGCCTTACCAGGGATTTGTGGTGGACTATGCCTGATCCTATTATCCCAACCTCATTGCAGGATACTAAGATGGTTCGCATTACTGAAGACCAGGTCGTACAGTTCTCCCTGGAAGAGGTGCAATCGGTGAAATTCCGAGCATCCCGTTCTCTGCTGGGACGCCTTTTCACGGATTCCATTGCCACACCCGCGGAACTGCGAGATGCGCTGATCGTTGCATGGAAAATCAAGGGCCAACTTCGCGTATCCCTCGCCAAACATGGTCTCTTTGAAATCGTGTTGCCATCCACCGAAGAACGGGTTTGGGTTCTCAAACAAACCCCATGGGTGGTCTTGGATACCATTCTCCATCTACAGCCTTGGTCGTCGACCATCACATTGAGCACTTTTGAGGACTTGGCCATTGCAACTTTTAGGGTGAAGCTTTGGAATGTAAGGGAAGATTGCTGCACCAAGCAGTTTGGACAGAAGATGGCGCAGGGAACCATTGGGCAATTTCTTGAATCAGGTTTTTTCTCTTCAAATGATACCAATGAGCAGTTTGTGAAGGTTAGGGCGCTGATTGACTTCACTAAGCCATTGCGCTCTCAAATCATTGCTGCTAGTGAAGAGCTTGATACCTTTTGGGTGAACTTGAAGTATGAATTTTTGCCGACTCTCTGCTTTCACTGTGGTCAAGTGGGGCATTCGAAGCGGGCCTGTGCTTTTGATCCCCCGACTGGAAAAGAGAGGTTTGGCCCTCATATGTCAACTTGGAAGATTGGTAGAAGGATATATGAGCAGGAGAATGAGACTAGGAATTTCTGAAAAAACAATACTTCGGTTTGGGTTAACAGGAGTGCTCCGATGCTTCAGGGAGGTGGTCCAAGGAGGGCCCAGGAGAAGAGCATTACGGAGGATCACGACATGGGGCGGCGCGAACACCACGACCTTAAAAGGCAGATGGGTGTTTCCCAGTACAAGCCTCCTGTGGCTATCGAAACTCATGTGGTGGACGAGATTCCTGCAAAAGGGATGAATCCGGCCGCTACGAAGGATGGCCTTGCCGCAAGACCCAATGGCTGAGTAGCCCCAAGGGGTTCTCGATCAGGGGCGCTCCTTGTGTTAAAATTGGTGGGAGAAAGGTGAGAAGCAAGAAATCTCCTCAGGCGGTGGGGCAGGTTGATCGAGCAGCACGTCGTCAGGCTGTAGACCGAACGGGAACTCGCCCTCATCACCGGGAACCGGATGCAAAGCCGGAAGTGATCTTTGAGGAAACCCGACGGTGCCCCCTCATTCTGGAGGAGGAGTCTGAGGAGGAAAGTGTGGGGCTAGGGCCGGTTGGTATTCCTCTTCCACCCAATCATGACCTGGCCGACTCCCCGCTCCCGGCAGCAATGAAGGAGATCCGATGAAGATGGAAGCCACTGGGCAGTTGGAGCGGGCAACCCGCCCTAGTGTACAGATGAAGCACCAGGCCGAGAGGGGCATTTTGGGGAAAGCTGGGGCGGTTCGCCGCCGCTTGCAGAAGAAAGCCCAGTCTATGGGACTGCTGGACGCGGATGAGGGGTTGGGCTCCGTGGGCCCTAATGATGGATTCGATGGGCTTGAGTTTGAGGCCCCTGATCAGGATGGCTACCAATCCCCAGATGAGACCTAGGCCTTTGAGATTCGGAGGAGGTCGCCGGTGGAAGAAACTGGGCAGGATAGCCATCCACCAGCTGGTCGGGTCAATCAGGTAGTAGAGGCCTTTGAGGCTGGCCTGAGCTTATCTAGGGAGAAAGGTGAAAGGCAACTGTCCCCTGCTGGGTGTCTGGCGCAGAAGATGAAAGAAGGGGTCATATGTGACACGGCTTCTCAGTCTTGGGAGAAGTTGAATGAGTATGGCACCAATTTGATGGATCCTTTGGTGGAGACGCGGAAGCGAGGTTTAGACGCGATGGAGGGGGTGGTGGGAGACTCGCCTACCCCAAAGAGATAATTTGTGGAGTCAATTGACAAGGTGGAGGAAGCCAGCCTAGAGTGGCCCCAGTCAGCCAAATGAGACTTTTGGCTTGGAATGTGAGGGGAATTGGGCCATCACTCACATTCCAAACAGCTGTCGGTTTAATTCGGTCTAATAAACCGGATCTCGTGTTTTTTTCGGAAATGCGATCGAGCCGGAGAGTAGTAACCCGTCGTATGCGGGGTTTAGGTTTTGATGTTTCCCGTTGTTTCTTTGTTGATGCTTTTGATGCATCTGGTGGTTTATTTGTTGCTTGGGCCCCCGGAGTTGACACTTCGGTGTTTTTTCATTCCTCTTTTTGTATTTGTGTTCAAATCAATGAAGAGAACTTTTCTTATGTGGTGATTTTGGTTTATATTAGTTGTGACATGGCTATTCGAGCCTCTCAATTGGCGCATCTTCGTGAGATTTGTGCTACTATCCACCTTCCTTTCACGATCATTGGAGATTTTAACTCGACCCTTCACGCGGGGGAAAAGGATGGTGGATTAGTGTGGAATGCGGCTCATTCGTTGAGCCTTCTTGAGTTTGTGCAGGATTTGGGTCTTCATGATCCGGGGTTTCAGGGGGATCAGTTTACCTGGACGAATAAACGTATGGGCTCGGCCTGTATTCGCGAACGACTGGATAGAGCTCTTTGCTCCCAGGCTTGGATTGATCAATTCCCTGAAACCCTGGTCAAGCACTTTACGGATCAGGGCTTAGACCATCTTGCCCTTCTCCTCTCGAATAAAGGGTATGCCCGGATTTGCCGGCCTCTTTTTTGATTTGATGCCCGTTGGGCGGACAATCCGGAGGTCAAGGCCATGGTCCGCTATGTATGGACAGAAGAAATCCTAGGTACTCCTATGTTCCGTCTTTGGGAACGCCTAAAAAAGCTCCAACATTTGCTTTATGATTGGAGTAGGGCGGGGACCACTAACTCCCTCAGGAACATTAGGACGATCCAGTCAGAAATTGATCGCGTGAAGCTTATCCATCCTATTCATTGGGACACTATTAGGACCTTGGAGTCTGAACTCTCCCGTCAGTGGGATGCGGAGGAGATCTACTGGCAACAAAAGTCTCGGGGGCAATGGTTAAAAAAAGGGGATCAAAATAGTTCCTACTTTCATACGGTTACGCGGGTTCGCCGTAAACGCAATTTTGTTGCTGGGCTTCGGAGTGATAATGGGGAATGGATTACAGAGGAGCAGGGGAAGGCGTCTATTGCCACAGATTTCTACCGAGGTCTTTTTACCCCAGAATCCCAAGTCCATAATATGGCAGATAGAGTTTCGTCTCTCCCCATTGATAGGAAGGTCACTCCGACAATGAATGCATGGTTGACAGCTGAAGTCCTCCCCACTGAAGTTCGGAGCACTGGTTTTTCCATGGGTTCAAAGCAGGCTCCGGGTTCGGATGGGTTCACGGGGAAATTTTTCAAGGCCTTCTGGGACATTGTGGGTGACTCAGTGATTGAGGCGGTCTGTTCCTTTTTCACGATGAGTCGAATGCTCCAAAGTTTTAACCATACTTGGTTGACCTTGATTCCGAAGGTTGAATCGGTGGAATTGATGAAACAATTACGTCCCATTAGCCTTTGCCAGTTTGTGTATAAAATCATATCTAAAATCATGGCAGAAAGGCTTGCTCGTCTCCTCCCCCTCATAATCTCGGAGGGTCAAAATGCGTTCATCAGGGATCGCCAGATAGTTGATAACATCCTCCTAGGGAATGAATTAATGCATTACCTTAAAATCAAAAATCAGGGTAAGAAAGGATACATGGCTCTAAAGGTTTACATGGAAAAGGCCTATGATAGAGTTGAATGGTCCTTTCTTCTTGCAATTTTGGATAAGTTGGGTTTTAATTCTATCTGGCGAGGGTGGATCCATGAATGTCTAAAATCCTCATCTTTTTCTGTTCTCATGAATGGTAATCCGTCAGGTTACTTTAATCCCTCTCGAGGAATCCGACAAGGTGATCCGCTGTCCCCTCTTTTGTTTGTACTCTGCACAGAAGGGTTTGCGGCTCTCCTCCGCAAAGCTATCTCAGAGAAGAAACTCGAGGGGGTTAAAGTGGCTCCTCGGGCCCCCAGAATATCACATCTCTTTTCTGCAGATGATTCTTATTTATTCTTGCGAGGGTCTCTGGAGGAGTGTGAAAACTTGATTGTGGTCTTAAACGAGTATCAGGAGCTTAGTGGCCAACGTGTGAACCTGGCCAAATCAGCTGTCTGCTTCAGTAAGAACATTGCTTTGCCAGATCAAGAGTTTTTAGCTGCTATTCTGGGGGTGGGTGCAGTGGGGGTCCACGATAAATACTTGGGACTTCCGACCTTGATCGCCCAGTCCAAGATGGCTACATTCCGATACCTGGAAGAGAAATTTTTAGAACATTTGCAGGGATGGAAACAGAGGACGCTATCTTGGGCGGCCAAGGAAACGCTGATCAAATCGATTGCCTTGGCTCTGCCATTACATGTGATGTCCGTTTTTAAGCTACCTTTGTCTCTTTGTCTCCTGTTAGACAGACATGTGGCCCGGTTTTGGTGGGGGGAGGATGCGGTCCATTCGAAGGTACGGTGGGTCTCTTGGCGCAATTTGTGCAGAAGTAAGCACGAGGGTGGAATGGGGTTTCGTCGGTTTGAGCACTTTAATTAAGCCCTTTTGGCAAAGATTGGGTGGCGGATATTGATGGAGCCACAGTCTCTCCTGGCCCAGGTTTACAAAGCTAAATACTTTCCAAATGGGTCCTTCATCCAAGCTACGGCCTGGTCTCGTCCTTTGTGGGGATGGAGGAGCATTCTCTTTGGGAGGCAGTTGTTGGAAATGGGGTTATGCTGGCAAATTGGTAATGGACGTTCTGCTTCCATGCTCTGCTCCACTTGGATACCTCAGCATCAGCTTCATCCCCCTAGGTATAACCCTCAGATCTTGCCCGAAGGGGGCGACCCGCTGGTGGCAGACCTTATCTGTCAGGGGGAGGGGCGGTGGTGTGACCAAAGACTTAGCCAATGGTTTGATCCCGCCACCTGCCGCTCAATCAAAGCAATCCCTCTCCCGCGGCAGGATGGGGAGGATAGGCTGATCTGGCATGATACGCCTGATGGGGTTTTTTCGGTGAAGTCGGCGTACCATTTGGCTGTCACTCTGGATAGGCGTAGGGGTGGATGGAAGGCTATAGTTAGTTGGATGGATAAGGCCAGTTGGATTCGTCTCTGGGATGCACCTATCCCCCCTAAACTTAAAGTGTTCGTTTGGCAGATCCTCAATCGAGCCCTTCCTACTACTGAGGCGCTGATTGAAAAGAAGGTCCCGGTCCATCCCCGGTGTCCAGTTTGCTGGTGTGCTTCTGAAACTTTAGAGCATTTGTTCCTCTATTGCCCGGTGGCACGTGCCCTTTGGGATTATTCGGGGCTGGAATATCTAGGGGAGGGATTGCCTCGAGACACTTTTCCCGGTTTTCTGAAGAGGTGTTTGGCTTTGATTAATCAGCCGAGACTATTCATGGCAGTAGTGGCAGTTCTCTGGAGGATCTGGCGGTCTCGCAATTGGTTTGTTTTTTAGGGTAAACAGTTTAGTTTCTCTGCTTTGATGAGGCAGTTTAACCAGCAGTATGAAGAATGGGTGCGTTTGCCTTCCAGTCTTAATCCTCCGGTCCAGAGCCGGGGTTTGGACCAGCCTGCCTCGATGGACGCTCCTAGTCTGGTTTGTAGGTGGGATGGCGCTGTCAGGAATGGGTCTCATTCGGCAGGTGGGGTAGTTATTCTCAATGCAGCTAGGGAGGTTATTCTGGCAAAGGGGATGCAGTTCCCAGTGCTGGATGATCCTCTGGTAGTGGAGCTGCTGGTGCTCCGGGAAGCTATTTTGTGGTGTAGGAGTCTTGGTTTTGCGGATATCACCTTCGAGGGCGACGCCAAAGTTATTATAGATAAGATCAACCGTGGGGACGCCAGGGATAGTCGGATGGGTGCAGTGCTTGAAGAAGTTGTTCGCTATTTCAACGCTCATTCTGGCTCTAGTATTCGATTTATAGGTCGTGGTAGCAATAGGATAGCCCATTCGGTGGCTAGAAAGGCCCTGACTTTGTATCCGGCTATATGTCGCACCTTTGATTTTCAGACCTGGCTGAATTTCAGGATGTAACTATTTTTTGTGGATCAATACATGATTATCTTTTGTTAAAAAAAAAAAAACCCTTAGCATAGTCACCACGGTCCATGTGTAGTCTATTTTTCCCAAGTAGAGCATCCAATGTGGAGAAAGAGCAGTTAGAGTGAAGCAAAAGAGCAGGTGGACGAGTAAGCAGGAGCCAACTCGGCAAACCCGGGAAAGAAAAGAGTGCAAGGCTAAAACCAGCAGTAGCAGCAGTTACGATTTCCCCCTCCTCCCCTCTCCTCTCATCATCATCACCAATTCACCGTAGCCATAGCCATCTCTCTCTTACTCTCTCCATTTCGTCATCACTCCCAATGCCTTCCTTTTCCTCTTCTCTTTGATCATCTTTTCGTCCTAGAAGCTTCTCTCTCCCCACTACTCTCTCGTGCTCTCTTCACTCACTCCCCCCCCAAACCGCCGGCCTGCAATCCACCAAACGCCCGCACTCGCAACACCGTTTCGCCCGAGCTTTTTTTTTCTCACTCTTCGCCGCTGGTAGCACCGATGATCGGAAGCCTTCGTCCGGTGTGCGAAATTCACTGAGCGTACGATTCTTTCCTGTTTCGCGCTTACTAATTTTTTTTTGTTTGTTTGTTATGCAAAGGATTGTAGAACTAGGAAATTGCGAGCTGTTTGATTGCTTCTTTTCTGTAATGGTAACCGTCGTGTGCTTGAGTGGATGGATAGTGGCAAATGCGAATATGAACTGAAACTGTTGTTAGAATGGCGGAAACGTGATGACGATCGGTTTTCCTGTTTGCTTTGGGCGACATGGAGTCTGTATGGAGGAATGTGAACCGTCTCGAGTGTTCCTCGGTTTACTAGATTATGGCGGTGATGGCCTGAGGATGTTCTTTTCACATTGATACGTTTGCACGCACGATTATGAAGGAGAGTGGTTTTGTCTAGATGTTTGCTTTGCTGGAGAGGGTTTTCCGGTTGATGTTGATCCAGTCATTCCTGAGTTTTCAGAAACTTTGATTCCCTTAGTACAGAAATTGAGCCACATTGTGAGCATTTGTTAGTCCCCCACAAGTGAAAATCTTCCAAGTTGTTTGTGTGTCTGTGTGCATGAAGGTCTTTCCAAGTGAACTAAATTGTTGTTGTTGCTGTCAAATTCAGGATACGGCCTATATCCTGCGCATTACTGGACCGCGGAAAGTATTGTTTTAAGCGAAAAATTCTTCGGGTGAAACATGTTGAATGATCAGGTAGAGGTAAGCTGGAAGGCATATGATTTATAGTTTACATGATTATTTTTTCGTTTTTGTGCAATGCTGATGGGTGGTCTTTTGTGAATCGATTTTGCAGTCTACTCTGGCTACAACTGAAAGCGTGGTTGATCCTTCACAGCCTGCCATTAGTATTGGTTCTTTAAGGGGTGATACTTCACTTAATGCATGCTCCTCCCAGGCACAGGCTGCTTATCATAGAGGTTAGCTCATCATTGTTAATTGTCTGTGTCTGTATAAACTAATAGGAGAACATATGATAATGTAGTTCCTGATTGATAATGGTAAGCCTCTGTAGAACTTTGAGTTTTTTTTTTTGTTTTTTGTTTTTTTTTGTTTTATGTCTGGCAGGTTATGATGGTATGATTAGCAGAATGGGAGTTCATCTTTCTGATGGTAATGTTGAAAGCCAGGGCAATAGTGCTCATGTAAGAACGGTTCCAGTGCCCTATTATTGCCCCAACTCTATTTTTTCCCTGCCCCTCTTGATCTACAAGTTCTTGTCTGTGTCATGGTTTCATTCTGCTGTAGGGCATCCGTGATGATTCTTCATCTCTTCCCTTTCATGGATATGGTTATGGCTCTCAAATGACGCATCGACCATATGTGCCGTTCACACCCCTTCAATCTTCTTATGACGGCACATTGTACAATGTGCAAGAGTTCTCCAACTCCAACCCACCTTATTTCCAGCAGCATATCTCACATAACATCCAACATGTTGCATCGTCAAACCATATTTCTGAAGTTCAATTGCCAGCCCACTCTGATCCACAAAATGTAGCTTGCTATAGTTATGACCTTGGACTTGGTCAACCACATACTTTGGGGGCTTTCAGTGAAGGACACCACTTTTCTGGGATGGTGGGACAGTCCAGGCCCTTGCAACAAGGATTTGATGGGATCGAAGGTGGTATGTTGTGGCCAGACTGGTCAAAACCTCCGAACGGGACAAACTCTTTTGCGCACTTGGCTTCATCACCATCTTGTCCAAAACCAATGGCTGCAGTCAGTTTTCCTGAGAATCATTTTGCCACGGTTAGGCATCTAAACCCACTCGATATATTATCTAGTTTCTTGTCTTTCTTTTAATCTCTTGGATACCATAACCAAAATACTGGAACAGTTATGTATTTGCTTCCGTGCTTTGTAACCGAAACTCTTATCTGAATGTTGAGGTATGTAGAGCTGTACATAGCTGCTCCTTGATATATGTAGAAATAACTGTTGAGTCACAAATATAAAGTATGAGCTTTTTCTAGGTGGTGAAGCATGAGACTTGTTGATCATGTGGTTCTATACTTACTCTGCATTGTTCTCCTGTTTTCGTCTACTTTGGTAATCATGAAGAATTATTATGCGGTGAATGTGAATTGGCATCTCTTCTGAATTGCATCTGAAACAATATGGGGTTTGTTTGATTGAGCTTTGCGTGTCATCTCAATTTAAAACTTCATGCAGGCTTCTCGCCACAGAGACTCATTTTATGACTTTGGATCTCATTCAAGTCCCACCTACAAAACCTATCCCCAAGGTCAAAAAGATCATGACTCTGGCTATGAAGTTTCTCTTATCAGGACGAATTGCCGAAACTGGCCTACACTCGATGAATCAAGGCGTGTGGGAAGGTGCAATGATTTCTCATGCAGTTGTACTGTTGCCCTTGATACACTTAGTGAGCGAAATAAAGGACCTAGGGCATTTAAACCCAGAACCCAGACAGTAAGAAACGAGCCCATGGTTGACATTCACAGGACTGTGATACATGATGGCTGTAGTGTGTCTCATCACAACAAACTGGATTTTGTCACCGACTACAAGGATGCAAAGTTTTTTGTGATAAAGTCTTATAGTGAGGACAATGTGCACAAGAGTATAAAATATGGTGTCTGGGCAAGTACTCAGAATGGAAACAAGAAGCTAGATGCCGCCTACTGTGAAGCCCAGGAGAAACAGGGGGCATGTCCCGTCTTCTTGCTATTTTCGGTAATGTCCATTCTCTTATTCACAACTTCTATGCTTGTTAGTTAGGGGTGGGAAAATGGTGTCCGGTTAAACTGAACCAAGACCAAATTTTGGGAAGCCCATTGATATAATTTACCTGAAATTACTAGTTAAGGATATTGGAACATGATAAACTTTAGGTGTTCTTACTGAACCTATCCTATCATTTTTGCTTCATTTACTTACTTTCAGTAGTACTGTGTATGAAGTCTAGTTAATTATAACCGCAAATCAAATATTAGTTTCAGTTGATCAAAATTTATGTGGTTCTGGTCTCGTGTTAACCAAAACCAACATCAGTCCCTTCTCTATTGTTAGTGCAACTGTGAACTTCGACAATTATTTGGCATCTGAGAATTTTCAAGTTTTTGGGAGATGTTGGCTGAAATGAGTAGTTTTTGGGGGAGGCGGGATGCATATGACAATGCTTTTAAGCTACTTGTCCTCTTTCATGGTCTCTTTCCAGATGCATCATAATGCATGGAGTTTACCTGCCTTCTGACAATCTTCAATATTTGCTATGCACAGGTCAATGCTAGTGCTCAGTTCTGTGGAGTGGCTGAGATGATTGGACCAGTGGACTTTGAGAAAAGTGTGGACTACTGGCAGCAGGACAAATGGACTGGACAATTCCCTGTGAAGTGGCATGTAATCAAAGATGTCCCCAACAGTCAGTTTCGTCACATTATCCTCCAAAGTAATGAAAACAAACCTGTCACTAATAGCAGAGATACTCAAGAGGTAAGCCTTCCTTTGGTTTCCAAACTTTTGTTACTGTTATTCCATAAAGAATGGCTCTTTCTTTTATGACTTAGTGTTGTGGGAAAACAGCTTAATTAAGGTCCACATGAGTATTCGTTTCTGGCTTTACCTCATTGTACTGTGAATTTTAAGGTGACTACCCCTTTCTCTTTCCTGTGTTTGAAGTTCCTTCCAAATAATTACTAATGAGGTCGATCCATGCTTAGGAAGAATGTTCTCTATGACCCTTGTATGCTGGAATTTTTCGTCTAGAGCAAACCTTTTGTGCATTTTTTAAGGAATTGATAGTCCTCCCCTGCTATTGTCAGTGCTAGGATAGAACTTAGCCAAACTAAGTTAGAATGGCTTCACGGATAATCGCACATGATCACACGATATATTTGCCAACAATGTCACTGTTCCATTACTTTGCGTCTTTAGCAGATCACTGTTGTTCTATACTGTTAAAGGACAAACACCTGTTTAGCAAGATTTGATCACTGTTGTCAATTATCTGCCATGTTCGCACATTAATACTTCCACCATCCAAAAACCGTTGCAGGTTCAGTTGGATCATGGGATTGAGATGTTGACCATATTCAACAAGTACGTGAGCCATTCATCCATACTGGATGATTTTGAGTTCTACGAGGAGAGGCAGAAGACAATGCAGGTCCGTAAGTCATCGAGACAGCAGCAGCAGCAGCAGGCCAACGTACCATCCTCTGCAGCTGCCCCTTCTGCTGCATCTCCTCCGAAGTCGGCTAGCCCACCGGGTCGCGTGGTGTCACTTCCCAGTGATGTCATCAAGAAGATGTCGAAGAGCTTCGCTGAAGCTGTTTCTGTGAAGGAAGACGAAAAACAAACGTGACGAGAAATAATTTAGTCTTTGAGTGGTAATTCAAGTAAGATATTCGCGTCCGGTAACTAAAATGGGGACTTAAGACTTAGGATGAAGGGTAAAAACAATGTGGTTTCCAATATTTGATGATTGCATGTGTTCATAATCAAGTTCAAACTGGGGATGGTTTTGAACTCTGTCCTTTACCCTGAAACTTGGGATTTGAGGTTTTAACAACAATGCACAATTGATTCCCTTTGTCTGCTAGTTATGGAGTCGTGGGTGATTGCAGGAGCTTTTGATTTGATTGTTTACCGGTTGCTTTCCACAAAGCTTTCTTCTGAAACGTGAAATGGGCGAACCTGGGTTTGGTTCCGGTGATGACTTGTGCTGCTCTGGTTCGAGTGATAAAATTGTTGTATAATTAGGGGTAAGGTGTATTAGCAGGGAGCCATTTAACAATTCGCCTGATGAAGTTCAGTGTTGGAAGCATCCTCGAGAATTAGAGCTTCATTTCAAAATGAAGTAGAAGAAGCAGTGAGTTAAGAGGTTGCTGACGCTGGCATTCTGTAGGTGGCAAGCAGTGGGGAGCTGAAGCACACAGGCACTCGGGAACCTTGTCTTTGGTGTTCTTGGTGGAAGCGCAGCACTCCTTGGAAGGCGAGCTCTGCTTCTCCTGCGCGAAGCTCAGGCACGTCATCACGCTCTCCAAGTCCTTGCCGCATTTCGTCGCCAAGTTGGAAACGCTTAGCAGTTGGGAAGTTTGCATCTTTGGTTCTCTCTTTTTCTCTCAACTGCTTGAATGGGATGAGAGAGGAATACTAGGAAAGTAATAGATGGGGATAGAGGCAGCTAGCTAGTGAGCTACAAGTTGTGTTTATGGTGTATGGATGCATGGAGTTATTATATTTGATGGGGACGTGAGGGTGGGTGGTCAAAAGATGGGATACGGTCGAGACTTGAGAAATTAAATTGGTGCTAATTAATTAAGAATGAAGCGAACCTAAAGATCAGATGTATCTACTCTAGCTACAAGGAATAGAATTGGATGAAGATTTCATTTGATTTCGGTGGTTGTAGTTCGCTTTGAGATATGCCAAGTCCCATTGTCCATCCAGTGCACAGTCAGTACGTAGGAAGATTGGGCTCTAGCTAGGTGGCTGAGGGTCTTTGATTGATTGCGGGACTGTGAGAGGCGGGCGAGGGGCTGTAAATGGCTTTTAATGCGAGCGCCAGATTTTTAGTAGTTGGGGAGCTTTGCTTCGAGGATGGTAGCGGCCGTAAGGACCGACCTAATAGTTAACCAACCTATCACTAAAAAGATCCACGTTCATTACTACTCTGTACTCTCTAGCCTCTACTATACTAATGTGTGGTGTAGGACTGGATTAGGATATTTAGGTTTTCATTTTACGGTTTATGTAGACAAAAAATAAATCGTTAATGTGTTTTTTATCGATTTTTTAGTTCCAAATTGTTTTGTATGTATCAATTTGATTTGATTAAAATCGAAAAATCTATAGGAAATCGAAAGTCACAATCCCAATATACTAACATCCATTATTGAATTCGTTAGGTTTATGGTTTCTTGAAACTGAACCGTTAAGGGGTTTAAAGGTTTCGATTTCAAGAAAATGGCTTGTTTCAGGTTTTTGATCTTTATAGTTAAGTTATGTGTAACCAAATGGAACCAATATTCCACTTACATGTAGGATAGGGTGCATAACTTTTGGTTATGCATTTTTGTACTCCAGTGCTTTTGATTTGGTACATACAGAACTTTGGGGTCTGTCTCCTGTTACTTCACGTATGGAATATCGATATTTTGCTCTTTGTATTGATAATGTGACTCACTATAGCTGGTTTTTTTTTGCTTAAAACATAAGTCAAATTTATGCAATATAGTGAATGAGTTTATTCATATGGTTCATACCCAGTTTGGCAAGACTGTAAAGATTATTCGTTCAGATCCTAGCAGGGAATTCAATTATGCACTGCTGTAGAATTGATATAAAAGTATGAGATTTTATCTCAATAGTCATGTCTGGGTGTCTCCCATTATAACAATCTTGTGGAACGCAAGCATCGTCATGTACATGAACTTACTCGTGCACTCCTGAAACATTCACATGTTCCTTGGGATTTTTAGGTCGAAGCTGTTCACTCAGTGGTGTATTTGATTAATCAACAGGTTACTCCCGTCCTTGATAAGAACTCACTAGTCTTCACTTTATTCGGGAAACATCCAGATTATCGATGGTTGAAGGTGTTTGGATGTACACGTTATGTTTTGTTAACTAAAAAGGAGTGTCACAATTTGAATCCTAAGGTCACTAAGTGTGTGTTTGTTGGGTATATTGATTGATCGAAAGACTATCTATGCTACGATGTATTTTCTCGTCGCATGCGACTTTCTTGTCTTGTGGTCTTCATGGATAACGTCTTCCACTATCACGCCATGAATCTACATCTTGCCACTTTCTTCTTCTCGATCAAACTCGACCACCTTCCCAGCGCATCCGCTTGATTTCGTGTCAAGCTCTTCTGGTAGCTCGTTCGACTCCTACGCGAGAAACCTCTCCTCATATAGTAGTTTGTATGGTTCCTCCTTAGGACCATCCTCTCCTCATTCATCTTCATCCTCTACATCAACTTCGTCTTCCCCAAGCTCTCACTAGAGCCCAATAGTACCCGCCCAAAAAGTTGTCCTTCATCGCCACTCGACACAGGCAAACTTTGGCCAAACTTGCACCGACCAAGGATGTCTTACTCATCTTATTACTATATCCCACCTAATAAGAAATCTAAATATTCGAACTCATTCATAGGACATATGTGCTTGTGGGCAAGCAATTTCTTTATAGGAAATGATAAATCTTTCTTCGAGTCACAATGATTTTGTTTCTTTTCCGTTGATCCTCCTTCAATCCCTATTCCTACTTCTTATTTAAAGGTATGTGGTATTGAGTTTAGGGATGCTGCCATGCGATCCTCCTTCAATCCCTATTTCTTCGAGGCTCGAAAGACTTGGCAGCTTGTTCCCCGTCCTTCGGACCTAGTAGTAGTGGAAATCGTTGGGTTTTTTGTTGTTGTGAATTTACATCTGGATGGTTCTTTGGATATATATAAAGCAAGACTTGTCGCGCAAGTTTTTCGAAAAGATTTTAGTAACGACTATGATGAGACATTTGGCCCGTAGCAAAGATGAAAACCGTTTGAATTATTCTGCCCATGGAAACTTTATGTAATTGGACGTTGACTCAACTAGACGTAAAAAATGTGTTTCTGCATGGTGATATGAAAGAAACCATTTTTATGGAGCGACCTCCGGGCTACACTAAGGGTGATCCTTATATGGTTTGTCTTCTAAATTGCTCTTTATATTATTTGAAACAGGCGTTGCACACTTGGTTTGATGAGAAGTTCCACCATACCATTCTGCAAGCTAGTTTTGTTCAGAGTGCTAATGACTCGTTCTTGTTTCTTCAAACTATTATTCATGGCCTCGTTGTTCTTCTCATTTACTGGAAGTTATGCTAGTGGCATTCAAAATCTCACCCTGTTTCTTCATCAAGCTTTTCATCTTAAGGAGTTGGGAAACCTTTCCTATTTCCTTGGGTTGGAGATTCAACGTTCATCTTATGGATTATTTGTCAATCCAAAACACAAGTATGTTTTGGATTTACTTCGTGAGGGGGATTTTGCAGATTGTAAGCTAGCAATGACACCAATGAAGAAGCATTTGAAGCTCTCTAGCTTCACTTGAGATCGACTGCCTGATACAACTAGTTCCCGCTATCACAGTCTTGTTGATAGCTTGATCTATTTGACTTCTACCCGCCCTAATATCTCGTATGTAGTACATGTTTTGAGTTAGTCTATAGCTTCCCCCTGAACGAATCATCTCAACATTGTCTATCGTAACCTGTGCTACTTGAAGGACACGCCCCAAGTTAGAATCTTCTTTCCAGCTTATGGTGATATGTCTCTTACTGCCTATGCAGATGCTGTTGTTTGGATCGCGTCAATCACTTTCTAGGTGGCTTGTGAAGTTTGCTTCTTCAGTGATTTCATGGAAATGTAAGAAGCAAGATCGTGTATCGAAGTCTTCCACTGATGATGAGTATCGGTCCATGTCTAAGATTAGTTTGAAACTAGTGTGGTTACATCGATTGCTTGCGGAACTTGGTGTTCTGTGTGACTCTCCTGTTCAACTGTATGCCGATAATGTCAGTGCTATTTAGATTGCCACAAATCATGTTATGCATGAGCGACTAAACACATTGAAGTCAATGTGCATTATATTTGCCAGGTTGTGAACAATGATTGGCTTCAATTGCAATATTTAACTACAAAAGATTACCCAGCTAATATCCTGATGAAGGTTGGTTCTACTAGTCGTATGCATTTGGAGTTGTATTGTAAATATGTTATTTGTGTGGGTTGGACAGTAATTAGGCACATAACTCAGTGGTTAAGGTTATGTGCTGAACATGGACTATAAAGACTTTATTATGGCTTATAGATCATTGAATAAGAAGAAAAGAAGAATGCCTACCATGGAGCAACCTTTCTCTAAGAGGTCGAACCACGTTAAATCTTGTGTCATTTTTGTTTATGCTTTCGTGATGATATTTTAATATTTTACCCTCCACCACCATTAACCTGTTTATGCACATATGACACCACGACGAAGAGTCGGCGATGACATTACCAATAAACATAAATAAATTAAGTTAACCAGGTAGGGTAGTAAATGATAACGTCGTGTGTTTTGACACCCTGAAACTTGGAGTAAATGTTTTTTTTTTGGGGGGGGGGGGGGGGGGGGGCGAGAGGAAGACTTGGAATTTATAACATGGGGTTTCACTTTCACTCAAGGATGGTAGGCTGCCAATGTCAAAGCTTGCCTAGTATTCCTCCACATACCACAGTTATGTTGCACTGAAATAGCCACTCGCTCGACATGCAAATTGGGAACACACCTATCGAGTCCATGTTGTAGTTTGCTACTTCTATTATATGCTTGCCACTGATGAGTTACATAAAGTCCAATGGCATGTCAAAATGCATAAGTGAAAAAACCCTCTCTCCAATGGAGCTTTCAAAATGTTAAAGTCCAAGAATTTGGGAATTTAGAGGTCAAACCAAAACATACTAAAACCATGGTAAATGGATAACCCCTTTTTTCACAAATCACAAGTCCATTTGCCACATAGGGGGAGTGATAGCATCATATATGCACATGTTTGCACCCTTGTTTCTGAACCATTTTCGCTCGGATTTGTGGTTCCTAGGTCTTATGTTAAGCTGTGCTCTTTTGTCACATTTCATGTCCTAGTCGTTGGAAGAAGGCTTAGGTGCGAGTTTTCGGTCATTTGGAGATCATTTGGTGACTTTGGAGCAAAACACGGTCGTCCCTGTATAGAACACGACTGTGTGTCACCCGGAGCACGCCAATATTTTTTAGTGCGAAGGTGATGAAGAGTCAGGATCAGAACATGGGCGTCTTCCAAAACATGTCCGTGTACGCAAACCACCTCGACCGTGCTTTTTATGCCGAAGGTGGGTTCATGAAGGTTGTTGAAGAATTGAAAGCACGGGCAAGCCCAGAGCAGAACACAGTCGTGTTTCCCCATATACGATCGTGGAGTCGGCCTCGTGAAGGTGACTAAAGGATACAAAACACGGGCGGGACACGCCGTGTAACTGGCCGCCCGTGTTTTGCCCAGTATCGGGTTAAACTGGCAGATTCAAGCCAAAGGAGGGTGATTCGAGTTTTCTAAGCAAAAATAGAGTTCTAGAGAGAGAAAGTGACGTAGATTAAACCCTATGAGCTATTTGGAGTGAATTTCTCGCTATTGAAGCCAATATTGCATCTCCAGGAGTGAAGATTGAAATCCCAGAGCAGTTTATACACATCATTATACGTATGCCTGCTTTGAATTCTGTTTTCCTCTATCTCTCTCACTTGGGTATGAAGAACCCTAGTTCCATGTGTTAGGAATCTTGCTTGTAATGACCTTTGGATATAATACTGGATGATTTTAATCGAATGATGCATGTTTATTGAGTCAATTGAATCATGATCAAGTTCTTTAGACTTATGCTTTAACCTATGATAGATAGAATCTGATTAGGTTATAAGAGCTTCTTCAATTGATAATAGTGAATTGATTGTACGAGAGTCAGTCAATAATTCAGTGCTTTGTATTGGAATTCGTTCCAAGTAGAGGGGATCTATGTGAATTGCCTTAGCAATCTATACCAGTGAAGGCTAGTTGCTTGTCGGTATTCTGTCTAAGAGGGCTTGGTCGGCTTAAGAGATTGCAAGCTATTTTCGGATCTTCCACAGTGTAATTGACAGTAAAACAACCAAAGGGAATTACAACTTGAACCTAACTAAGGAGCTAGGGGGACTCAATCCCGAGTGACTCTTCTCTTGCTCAAGTATACCGAACAACTTGCTTTTCTTTATGCTTTAGTTTAAACTTATTTTCACTCAGCTTTACCTACTAGATAATAGAATTTCATGAAGTAGGCAATACATCTAGGCCCCTGGTTGATATTTATTACTTGTCCCACTATACTGCATTTCTAGACTACGATTGCACTTGGTCATAGTTTGGTGTTGTGTTTTAGCGAGTCAAATTTTTGGCGCTGTTGCTTGGGAGATCTTGGTTATTGTAGAAACTTGAAGGTCTGTTACTTTAGCATTTACTTTTCTGCATTTGTTTTCCTCCACCTGTTTGCCTTCACGGGTTGTGTGCGCAGTTTGTGTGCATGTAGTGCATGACCCGTAGCCAGTCGGGAGATCTACATCTGTTAGACCACGAGCTTGAGCGGACTTGCCATCAGTTTAAGAGAGCACTAAAGGCGCAACTGGTTGCAGAGGAAGCTTTTTCTCAATTGAACATCGCACAGGAAGGATAAATGGGTGAACCTAATAATGGAGCTGGGGATGTGGAAGATCAGGCCGAAGAGCGGACCATCGGATACTACCGGACCGCCAGGGCCGCAGACATGAGGTCACACATCCAACTCCCTCAAGTTCATGTTAATAATTGTGAGGTGAATACCTCTGTTATCACAATGTTGAGAGGTTCAATGGTTTTCATGGGAAGAAAGGCGAGTCTTCCCGAGCCCACCTGTGGCGATTGCACGAGATGATTGATGAGATCAAGATAAATGGGATCCCTCAAGATGCCATCCAGCTATGCTACTTCTCATTTACTCTGGAGGGGCAGGCCAAGCTGTGGGTGGAAAACCGGCCTCCGGGGTCAATCACCACATTCACCGACTTGGCCAACAAATTCCTGACCCCTATCTTCCTCCTTCTAAAACAGCAGACTTAGAGAAGGAGATTACCCATTTTGCCCAATAGGAGGAAGAGACTATCCGAGGCGCTTGGGAGAGATACATAGGTCTCTTCGTGAAGGGTCCCATCAATGGTTTCAATGATGCCTTCAAAGTGGGTACCTTCTATCGGTCTCTCTTTCTTGAGGATAAGCAGCTGATCGACTCGGTTTGTGGCGGGAACATTTTGACTAAAACAACACCGCACTTGAACCAGTTGAAGACATGGCTAAGCAGGTTTATGATTGGGGGTGTGCATGAAGATCACGACGAGCACCGGGCCGAGGTGTGCATGCCCTGGATACCCCTTTGTTCGATCTGGTGAGTGTGGCCACTAAGCTGGTCGCGACACTTAATAGAAATGGGATGGTTCCCGATACAGGGCAGCAACAGGTGATGTATTGTCAGTGGTGCGAGAGAAGCTACCACACAGTGGAAGACTCTTAGGCAATGAGAGAATATACTACCCCCCAAGAGTAGTTGGACTTCATCTACAACGCTAGGCGCTTCAACCCTACAGCAACACTGATAATGAGGGTTAGCGCCAGCATCCTAACTTCTCTTGGGGTGTTAACATTAATCCTTAGCCATCTGGTACGTAGGGACCCCAAGGCTTGTAGAGATTGTAGTACTAGGCCCGTTAGGGCCATTTCCAATAGCCTCAACAACTTCTTTATCTTCCCAGACAGGGGAAATCTCTTTCTCCACAGCAGCCACTATAGTTTCAGCAGTCGGGCACAACGCCAGTAGCACCAATACCATGGGATCCGATGGTCAAGAAGCGCAACATCGTGGGTTCCCTTGCCAACTGTAGCGCCGAAAAATTTAGCAACATGGAGCGGTTCATGGAAAAGGCCTCCGCTCAGTTCCTGGATCTTGAAGTTGGTCAGAAGTCTCTTGAAACTGGCTAGCGCAACACAAAAGTTGTTCTTCAGGACATCCAACTCCAGCTGGGAAATGTCCATAAAGTTGTGGCACAGACAAAGGGTTCCAGGTACATTGCCTCATCATACCATTCCTAACCCTAGAGACCCTAGAGACCAGGATGCCCACTGCAGTGCCATTACCACCATGAGCGAGAAGGTGACTGTGGATACTCCCCGTCAAAACTAGGCAGGAGGAAGAAAGACCTACTTAAGCACTTCGGAAAATGAGGAAGAAATGGATAAGGAGGTTTAGGTGTCTGCTCCTAAGCCACAACCAGTGGTGAAGGAGTATGTCCCTCAACTTCCCTTCCCCACTCGGATACATAACGGTCGGCTAGAGACTGAGTTTCCCAAATTCATGGTAATGCTGAAGTAGGTGAATATCAGCATACCTTTCGTGGAGTTGCTGTCGAAGATGGCCAAGTACGAGAAGTTCATGAAGGATCTCCTCACCAAAAAGAGGAAGCTTGGAGAGCTCTCAACGGTGATCGGTGATGCTAAATGTGGAGTGTTCTGCCATCTTGCAGAACAAGCTACCAAAGAAGCACAAAGACCAAGGGAGTTTTACTATCC